AGTCATTTTTAAAGTTTCATCAAAATAACTCTCAATAAAAATTTTGTAGATATAAAAGGAAATTATTATTAATTTTTGTTCCGTTATTCCATTATTAGTTTCCACTCCCACCCAACAGAAGAACATAATTAGCCCCGCCCACCCACCCTGTCTCCTTTTCAGTGATTGATTTTATCCAATCTTCTAAAAAATTTCAATTTGTCAACATCCCCTTGTTGATAACTATATGTCGCAAATTTTTGTGGATTTTAAGGCACAGTTTCAAAAGTCCCAATTTTTCTATACTTCCCTGTTTGAATTTTTAGATTGTTTTTCGAAATTTAGGGATATTAAAAAATCCATTTTCAAACTGAATTTTGCGAAACCTAATTTGTTTTTTTTTTCTAATCAGCTCGTCATTATCTCGGTCTCAGAAGTTTTTGAGGATTTTTGAGCAAACGTTTCAAAAATCTAAATTTTTCTTTGTGGTATGAATTTTATGTTTTTCTAGTTTCAGAGATATTTAAAAAATTTCCAATTAAAATCGAATTAAAAAAAATTATCTTGTTCCGGAGCTATTAACCTTTATATTTTCCAAATTAGCTGGTCCAGACCTATGTCCCAGAAGTAGAAGTGAGGAATTTTAGGCAAGTTTTCAAAATTGTTAATTTTTCAAAAAGTTTTCATCGTTTTTTTGAGATTCGAGATATTTAAGATTTTATTTTAAAACCAAATTTTTGAAAAAGTGGCTCCAGAGCCGGAAATTATTTTTGTTTATCGAATCAGTTTCTCGAAATATGTATATTTTCCAGACTTTTGTGACGATTAGTACTTGATAAGATAAGACTGATTTTGGGCACTTTTCACATTTTCGAACATTTTTCAACTAAATATATCCGAAAATTAGTTCAATCAAGTTCTTGTAAATTTCGATATCCAGCTGTCATTTTCGGGTTCGTTTCTTTGGAAATTTCTACCGTTTTTCTAAAATCGCCAATTGAAATACAGCCATTTTTAGAGTTTCATCAAAATAACTCTCTATACAAATTTTGTAGATAAAAAAGGAAATTATTATTAATTTTTGTTCCGTTATTCCATTATTAGTTTCCACTCCCACCCGACAGAAGAACATAATTAACCCCGCCCACCCACCCTGTCTCCTTTTCAGTAATTGATTTTATCCGATCTGAATGAAATAAATAATCTTATACAGAACCGAAATTAAATTAGTCGTTAGAATGAGAAGAGGGTGAGTGGGCGGTGCTAGTACTTGCTAAGATAAAACTGATTTTGGCAAATGACATACCTTCCAAGAAAATATAGGGCGGGTGGGCGGGGCTAGTACTTGCTAAGGTAAGACTGATTTTAATAAAAGAAATTACGATTAGCGCTTTTTTATACTTTATTCACATTCTAGATTCTATTATTAGTTAATAAATTTTCAAATTGTCAACATCCTCTTGTCGATATCTATATCTCACAGAATTTTTGTGGATTTTTAGGCAGATTTTCAACTCTCAGTTTTTCTGTACCTACCTACTCCTCTGTAGGATTTTTTTTTATTCTTTTTCGGACTTTAGAGATGTTGAAAAAATCTAGTCTCAAACCGAGTTTTGCGAAAATCTTGGTCCGCAACTTTTTTTTTCCTAATCCGCTGGTCGAGATCTTGATTTTAGATTTTTTTGAGAATTTTTAGGCAAACGTTTCAAAAATTTCCGTTTTTCTCGTAAGAATATTCAGTTTTTCGGAATTATTAGGTTCCGGACCAAGATTTTCGCAAAATTCGGTTTGAAAATGGATAAAAATCCAAAATTTTCGAAATTTAGAGATATTAAAAATAATATCTCTAAATTTCGAAAAACAATCTAAAAATTCAAACAGGGGAGTATAGAAAAATAGAGGCTTTTGAAAATGTGCCTAAACATCCACAAAAATTTGTGAGATATAGTTATCGAAAAGGGGATGTTGACAGATTGAAATTTTTTAGAAGTTGTCAAAAGTCTTCACAAAATTCTGGAAAATACATATATTTGAAGAAACTGATTCTAAAAACATATAATTTCTTGGTGTGGATCCACTTTTTCAAAAATTCGATTTCAAAGTAAAATAATTAAAAACCTCGATTTTTGAAAAGCGGTGACAAAACTTTGAAAAATTCACAGTTTTGAAGAGTTGCCTAAAATTCATCAACTTCAACAACTTCTACTATACAAATCTCGATCAACCAATTCGGAGGATATAGTTTTAATACCAGGATTTTTGTTTTAATTCTACTGGAAAATAATTTCTTTTTTAAATCTTGAAAACTCGAATAACGGTCATAAAATTCATCCTCGAAAAAATTGAGACTTTTGAAACTTCGCCTAAAAATCATTAAAAAATTCAGATAGAAATCTCGACGAGCTGGCTAAAAAAAAACAAAATGTATATCTCTAAATTTCGAACAACGGTTAAAAAATTCGTACGGGGAGTATGGATAATTTGCGATTTTTTTAAGGTTGTCTAAAAATCGTCATAAAATTGTGGTAAATACATTCTGACGAGCTAATTAAAAAAATATGAAGTGTGTGTTACTTGTCTCACTAAAAAAAAAAATGCGAAAAATTTGATTTGAAGACGAATTTTTTTATATACTCGTATCTCGAGAACTCGTAAAACGGGCTTAAAGTCATACTGATGTTGAAATCCCTATTGAATTTTTCAAAAGTTGAGAATTTCGAAAAATTTTGAAAAATTCTAGGATATAGATCTGGACAAAGATTTTCGAATAATTCGCTTTGAAAGTTTTCATTAATTTCATATCTTCGTTTTTTCGCTTCAAGTCTTTTTGTTCATTTCAGCTTCATTTATTGTTCAATAAGGTTATCCAAAAAGACTCTAAAGTCTAAAGTGTTGGTTTTATTTCATCTATTTTTCTTATTTGTTAAAATGTACATACGATTTTAATTAAATTATCTAGATATTGTGATTTTTTACACCCTACCGTAATAACAGCTACAAATTTGTGCAGTCTTAAAATGCAAAAATGATTTTCAATTTTTTCAAAATTACGCTTAAATCTGGTTTGGCCTGCCCATGACAATTTTGAAAACTTGGCTAAAGTTCCTCAAGAACTTCTGGGACACAGACTTGGACCAGCGAATTCGGAAAATAATACATGAGTGTTAATTTTTTTTAAGTCGATTTGAAATGGAATTTTTTTTAATGTCTCGAAAACTCGAAAAACTGTCATAAAGAAACATTACGATTTTTGAAGTTTGCCTAAAAATCCTCAAAAAATACTGAAATCGCGATCTCGACAAGCTGATTAGAAAAAAAAACCAAAATGGTTCCGAACCAAAATTTTTTAGAAGTTGCCTAAAAATCCTCACCAAATTGTGGAAAATATATATATTTCGAGAAACTGATTCGAAAAACATAAATAATTTCCACTTTTTCAAAAATTTAGTTTCTAAATAAAATATTTAAATATCTCCAATCTCGAAAAGCGGTGACAAAATTTTGAAAAATTAACAATTTTGAAGAGTTGCCTAAGATTCCTCAAGAATATCTGAGATACAGACCTCGACCAGGATTTTCTTTTAATTCCATTTGAAAATACAATTTTGTAAATATGTTGAAAACCCGAAAAACTGAAAATTCATACGGGAAAAACGGAAATTTTTGAAGCGTTTGCCTAAAAACTCTCAAAAAAATCTAAAATCAAGATCTCAACCAGCGGACTAGGAACAAAAAAGTTGCGGACCAAGATTTTCGCAAAACTCGGTTTGAGAGTGGATTTTTTCAACATCTCTAAAGTCCGAAAAAGATTAAAAAAAATCCTACAGAGGAGTAGGTACAGAAAAACTGAGACTTGAAAATCTGCCTAAAAATCGAGATTTTTAAATATTTTACTTTACAATTGAATTTTTGAAAAAGTGGATCCACACCAAGAAATTATTTGTTTTTCGAATCAGTTTCTTCAAATATATGTATTTTCCAGAATTTTGTGAAGATTTTTGACAACTTCTAAAAAATTTCAATCTGTCAACATCCCCTTTTCGATAACTATATCTCGCAAACTTTTGTGGATGTTTAGGCACATTTTCAAAATTTTCTATTTTTCTATACTCCCCTCTTTGAATTTTTAGATTGTTTTTCGAAATTATTTTTAATATCTCTAAATTTCGAAAATTTTGGATTTTTATCCATTTTCAAACCGAATTTTGCGAAAATCTTGGTCCGGAACCTAATTTGTTTTTTTTTTCTAATCAGCTCGTCGAGATCTCGGTCTTGGAAGTTTTTGAGGGTTTTTGAGCAAATGTTTCAAAAATCTCAATTTTTTTGTGGTATGAATTTTATGTTTTTCGAATTTCCGAGATATTTAAAAAAATTCCATTTAAAATCGAATTAAAAATAATTATCTTGTTCCGGAGCTATTAACGCTTTATATTTTCCAAATTAGCTGGTCGAGTCCTGTAGCCCAGAAGTTCTTGAGAAATTTTAGCCAACTTTTCAAGAATGCCAATTTATCAATATTTTTTACCGTTCTTCGAGATATCGAGATATTTAAAATATTTTATTTTTGAAAATCTAGGTACAGACTAAGAAATTATTTATGTTTTTCGAAATCAGCTCGTCGAGATTTATGTCTTAAATTTTGTGAGGATTTTTAGGCAAATTTTCAAAAATCAGTCTTTCTTACTGAGGCGTGTGAATTTTTTGACAGTTTTTCGAGTTTTCGATAAATTTAAAATTTCAAATCAAATTTTTAGACGATCTCGTTGCAAAAAAAATCCTTAAAGCAACACTACACTTTGTAGACACATCTTCTTTAATAATTTGATGATTCTAAAACCACTTGATTGATAACTTGAATCAACAAAAGATTAGAACCACAATTGCTCAAACCTGTGATAATCTACGAGAAAGCGCCTCCACTCCTAGAGGCAATTGACCGATATTTACAATTTTCTCTCTCCAGTTCACCTAGGGATATTCAAACACGTCACATGTCTGAGATAAGTCCAAAACTGTATAAAACAGACAACAAGTTGTTATGATCAGTTTTTTATTTATAATAATTCCACCTCCACTCGACTCTTTAAATAAAGTTGTCCTTCAACTTGGCAGAATCATTTAACAGAGAGATAGATAGATTTCCAGTGTTATTAGGTCTGCACGATGTGGTGGATAGTGATCGCTGTAGCAGCTCTCGCTGTGGGATACTGGTTGCTGATCCGCCCCCACAGGTACTGGTTGGAAAAGGGAGTGAAGCAGGGAACTCCAGCATTTATTTTGGGGGATAATTGGGGAACGGTTTTGCGAAAACAGTCCCTAGCGGAAATGGTTATGATGGTTTATAATGCGTGTCCAAATACCAGGTACGTAAAACTTTACATCATTTGGTTATGCTTTTTTTTTTGTAAGTATTGCAATTTGGTAAAATCTTTATTATTATTGTTTTTATACATTTCATACAATGATTTGCGGCTAATTAATAATAAATTGAATGTTTACGTAATTCTTGACGTCAGTGATAATAACAATAATAAGAGCAAAGCAGGTTTTATCTGTTGCTATTTAAACACAAATTAGTTTTTTACCTGAAGGTCGCTTTATACTTATTTAAAATTAAATATTATTTTAGGTACTCAGGCTTCTATCAGTTTTTATTACCAACTCTTCTACTAAAAGATCCCGATCTTATCAAACAAATCACCGTGAAAGACTTCGACCATTTTCTAGACCACCGAAGCATTATTCCAGAAAATAGTGACCCACTATGGGGGAACAATCTTTTTTCTCTAACTGGTAAAAAGTGGCGAGAAATGCGAACAACCCTCAGTCCAGCTTTCACCAGTAGCAAAATGAAATACATGTTCACTTTAATATCACAAAGTGGTGAACAATTCGTAAAATATTTCTTGAAGCAAGACCAAGATCTTATTACTGTCGAAATGAAAGATACCTTCACTAGATTCACTAATGATGTCATCGCCAACACTGCTTTTGGAGTCGAGTGTGATTCTTTGGGTGATCGTACAAACGAATTCTATATGATGGGAAAAGAAGCGACAAACTTTAACGGATTTTGGAAAAATTTCAAGTTCTTTGGATACATCTTTGTGCCTAAATTATTTAAGGTAAATTCGTTATTCTTCACACTAGTTTTGACTTAATTTGCTATTATTTTTTCAGTTTCTTAAAGTATCACTGTTTTCACGACAAGTCGGCGAATTTTTCAGAAATGTAGTCAAGAGTAATATTCGAAGTCGCGAAAAGCACGGATTTGTAAGACCAGACATGATCCACCTTCTCCTCGAAGCACGCAAAAACGGGCTCAAACACGAAGAAACCGAGCCGCTTCAAGATACAGGTTTTGCCACAGTGGCAGAATCCGAAGTCAACAAAAACCCCAAAAACACCAAAGTCGAAATTACAGATGAAGTTATCACTTCTCAGGCTTTAATTTTCTTCTTTGCTGGTTTTGACGCGGTGTCTGCTCTTATGTGCTTCATGTCCCACGAACTTGCTGTTAACCCGGATGTCCAAACAAGACTTATACAGGAAGTAGACGACACTCTGGAAGCTTCTGAGGGTAAACTGACGTATGAGGCGCTTCTTGGTATGAAATATTTGGATATGGTGGTCTCTGAAAGCTTAAGAAAATGGCCCAATGCTGTTGGTGTGGACAGAGTTTGCACCAAACCCTACACCATCGAGCCTAAATATCCTGATGAGAAACCTATCCACTTGGAAAAGGATGATGTGGTTTGGGTGCCCATTTTTGGAATACACCGAGATCCTCAACATTATCCAGAACCAGAGCGTTTTGATCCAGAAAGGTTTAACGATAAGAATAAGGTCAACATTAACCCCTACACGTATTTGCCTTTTGGAACAGGACCTAGGAATTGTATTGGATCTCGATTTGCTCTTTTGGAGACTAAAGCGTTGTTTTTTTATATTTTGTCACATTTTGAGTTTGTTCCAGTGGAGAAGACTCAAATACCTTTAGTTTTAAGCAGGAAGAGCATCAATTTGGTTGCGGAAAAAGGGTTCTGGTTGGGACTTAAACGACGTTCTAGAATCTAAATTTGAAAATAATTTCTATATTATAAGACTGCACACATTTGTAATTGTTGTTAGAATAGAGCGTTAAAAATTGTACACAATCGTATATAAACCTGTTCCACCCAGAGTTGACCAATTTTTATAATGTCTAGATAATTAATAGTTAAAATCGTATGTATATTTTAACAAATAAATAAATAAATAAAATGAAACCAATACTTTACAGACTTTTTATAGACCTGTGATCCTTAATAATAATTTGAATATTAATATTAATAATAAAATAAAATATTTCTGATGAGATGGAAACGAATTGGAGGATAAGTAAACTATGTAATATAATCGAAAAATAGATAACCAGAAAAGAGTAGAAAGAAATTAAACAATAAATGAAATTTAAAGACATGAATGAAAAATATATAAAAATTTGAAGTAAAGGGACGAATACTTGAAATTAACGAAAACGCTCAAACCGAATTTTTCGAAAATCTGGGTCTAAACCAAGAAAATATTTAAGTTTTCCGAATCAACTCATCGATGTATATTCTAGAATCTGTTTTAAGATTTAAATACGACTTTTCAAAAGTTTTGAAACAGAATTTTTCGATCGAGATTTCGAGAGATTAAAGATTTTATTTTTAAACTGAATTTTGAAACTGAATTTTCAAAAATCTGGTTCCTGACCAAGAAATGATGTATTTCGAATCAGCTCGTTGTCCACAATTTTTGAAAAGTTCAAAATTGTCAATGTTTTATTACACTCTGACTTTTTTTTGAGATTTCGAGATATTTACAAATTTTATTTTAAAACCGAATTTTCAAAAAACTGGCCCCTTACCAAGACACTATGTATTTCGATTCAGTGTATCGAGATCTATATCCCAGAATTTTTTAAGGACTTTTAGGCAAATTTTTAAAGGCTCAATAATTCAATTACCTTCCGTATAAATTTTTTGAAAATTTCTGCCCGGGACAATAATTAACACTTTATATTTTTCTGATCACCTCATATTAAGCAATTTTCCAAAAATGTTAATATTTCAATATCAGTTCAAGTAATAATTTTATCATGTTTTTTTTTCGAGCTCTCGAGATATTTAAAAAAATTAAAGTTTAGTTTGGGACGGTCTTTTCCGAATTAGCTCGTCGTGGTCTATGTTCTAAATTTTTTTGAGAAATTTTAGGCAACTTTTCAAAATTTTCAATTTTGCAGTACAATCATATATGAAATTTTTTTACCGTTCTTCGAGATTTAGAGTTAAAAGATTTATTATTTTTAAACCGTATTTTTCGAACATCTCGGTTCGGAATCATTTGCACTTTTTATTTCCCAGAATTTTGTGACGATTTTTATGGAAATTTTCGAAAATCTGAATTTTAACCGTTTTTCGAGATTACGAATTTTTTAAAAAACATCATTTTCAAGGGAATTGTTCGAAAATTTTGGACTGGGACTATTAACACTATCTTTTCCGAATCAGTTCATCGAGGTCCATGTCCCAAAATTTATGGCGAAATTTTAGGCAACCTTCCAAAATTTCGAAAATTTTGCTTTGGAACAATTGACACTTTATGCTTTTGCTTTATGCTTTTCGAATTGGTTTCTCCAAATATATTTCCAGAATTTTGTGAGGATTTTTAGGCAACTTTCAAGACAACCCTGAATGAATCTTTTTCAAGATCTCGAGATATTAAAAAAAATCACTTTCAACTCGAATTTTTGGAAAATTTTGGTTTGGGGCTATTGTTTTTCGAATCAGCTCGTCGAGATCTCTATCCATAACTTTTTGAGGCCTTTTAGATAATTTTTCGAAAATCCCAATATTTCAATATCCCCCGTTTTCGAGTTTTTAAGATATTTAAAAAATTACATTTTGGAACAGAATTTTTCGGAAATTATTTGTCCGGAACAATTAGCACTTTTCAAAATGGCTAAATTTTTAATACCCCCCTCCCTACCATATGAATTTGACCGTTTTGGAGATTTCAACATATTTACAGAATTTATTTTCAAACCGAATTTTCAAAAATCTGGTTCTAGAATTTTATAAGGATATTTAAAAAAAATATTTTAAAAAAGAATTTTTTGAAAATTTTTGTCGAACACTTAATATTTTTCAAATCAGCTCGTTAAAATATATTGTCCAGAATTTTATGAGGATTGTCCCGCAGTTTTTAGAAAATCCGAGTTTTTCAACACCCCCTCTATGAATTTTATAACCGTTTTTTTGAATTTTTGAAGATCTTGTTCTTGTCAGCTCATGGAGACCTATACCCTAGAATTTTTTTTTTGATTTTTTTTTAAAGTTGTCAATATTTCAATATCCCTCCTTTATTAATTTTATTACCGTTTTCTAGCTCTCTTTTGAAAAGTTTAATCTGTGAGGATCTTTTCCGAATCAGTTCATCAAGGTCTATGTTCTAAAATTTTTTTGAGAAATTTTAGGCTACTTTTCAAAATTTTCTACACCAAAAAGAATTTTTCGAAAATCCGGGTCCGGAACCATTAACACTTTTACTTTCCAGAATTTTTTGAAGGGGCTTTTGGAGATTTCGAGATATTTAAAAAAATCCACTTTCAATGTAATTTTTCGAAAATTTTGGTTTGGATATGTTATGTCTATGTTTCAAAATTTATTGAGAACTTTTGGGCAACTTTCCAAAATTTCAAAAATTTGCTTCGAGACAATTAACTCTTTATGTTTGTCGAATTGGTTTTGAGAATCTTTAATTAACTTTTCGAAAATCTCAATTTTTCAATACAACTCTGTATGCATTTTTTGACCGTTTTTCGAGATTTCGAGATATTAAGAAAAAACACTTTCAAGGGAATTTTTCGGAAATTGTTATTTATTTTAATTTTAATTTATTTAACACTATCTTTTTTGAACCAGTTCGTCGAGGTCTATCCCAAAATTTATTGAGAAATATTAGGCATCTTTTCAAAATTTTGAAAATTTAGCTTGGGGACAATATTTAACACTTTATGTTTTTCAAATTGTCTCTCAAAATGTATTTCCCAGAATTTTGTGAGGAATTTTAGTCAACTTGCAACACAACCTTGTACGAACCTTTATTTTGAGATTTCCAAATTAAAAAAAATCAAACCGAATTTTTCGTAAATTTTGGTCTGGAGCTATTAACACTATATGTTTATCGAATCAGTTTCTCGAAATGTATATTATTTCCCAGAATTTTGTGAGGATTTTTAGTCAATTTTTCGGAAACTTCAGTTTTTCATCACAAGTCTGTATGCATTTTTTGACCATTTTTCAAGATTTAAAAAAATCCACTTTCAAGGAAATTTTTCGAAAATTTTGGTTGATTTTAATTTTAATTTATTTAACACTTTTCGGAATCAGCTCGTCGAGGTCTATGTCCCAAAACTTATTGAAAAATGTTGGGCGACCTTCCAAAATTTCAAAAATTTTGCTTCGAATTGGTCTCTCGAAATATATTTCGCAGTTTCATGTGACGATTTTTGCGTAACTTTCAATATAATCCTGAATGAACCATTTTTCGAGATTTTCAAATTAAAAAAAAAACAATTCTAAACCAAGATCGTCGAGGTTCTTGTTTCATAACTTTTCGAAAATCTCAATTTTTCAAAAACATCCCCGATTATGGATTTATTGACCGTTTTTTGCGAATTCCAGATACCTAACAATTTTCATATCAAAACCGAATTTTTCGAATCTTGTCGAAATGTACTCATTTCCCAAAATTTTCTGAGGATTTTTAGGCAACTTAAAAAAAAATTCAATTTGTCAATGTATCACTGTGTGACTTTTGTACCGTTTTTTGAGCTCTAGAGACATTTAAAAATTTTCAAACCAGCACCATTGACACTTATAAATTTGAATCGGTTCGTCCAGATCTAAATCCCGCAGAATTTTTGTGGATTTTTAGGCAAATTTTTGAAAAAAAAACCAACATTGCAAAAATTTCACAAACAAAAATATAACCAGTCGATACTTATAGAAAATTTGTAAATATTTATAAAATATATAAATATAAAAAAAGTCGAATTTTATTTATCTATCTTTGATGTCATTTTCTTTAATTAAAAAAAAATAATAATAATTTTCATATAAAACATAACATAGTTTCATTGTTATAATAATCACATATATGGACGAATCAATTAAAACTGTTTACATACCTCTCCAAACTCTCATAAATAATAATCTACGACAACAATACCAAAAAAGGAACTCATTGTAATCTCTGTGTCCATAAAAGGAATTAACCGATATGGTCACGCTTCCCCTCCAACTCACCTACAACCAATCAGAAGCGAAAACTCCTAGCGCTATATTGTTTGAAATAACTATGGACGGGTATAAAATAGACAGCAAAGTCTCATCATTTTTATTCAAAACGTCGAAAAAGAACAAACATATTAATTATTATTCCAGTAATTTCACGATGTGGTGGGTATTGGCCTTTATAGTAGCCGTCGTTTGGGGATACTGGTTTTTGATCCGCCCCCACAAGTTCTGGACGAGAAAAGGCGTACCGCAAGGAACCCCAAGGTTTATTTTGGGGGACACCTGGGGAACGTTGGGAAAACAATCGCCTGCAGAAATGATAGAGATGGTTTACAAAATGTGTCCAAATACCAGGTGGGTAAAAAAATTGTATACCATGTGTTAACTAATGTGTCCACATTTCAGGTACTCAGGCTGCTACCAATTTTTACTGCCAACCCTTGTGCTCAAAGACCCCGACCTCATCAAACAAATCACCGTGAAAGACTTCGACCATTTTGAAGACCACCGAAATTTGATCCAAGAAGACAGCGACCCACTATGGACCAAAAACATTTTCGCTCTAAATGGTAAAAAGTGGCGCGAAATGCGGGCTACACTAAGTCCAGCTTTCACCAGCAGCAAAATGAAGTACATGTTCACTTTAATCTCACAAACTGGCGAACAATTTGTAAAATATTTTTTGACACAAAACGAAAATGTTACTACTTTTGAAATGGAAGACATCTTCACTAGATTCGCTAACGATGTCATCGCCAACATCGCTTTCGGAGTCGAGTGTGACTCTTTGGTGGACAGAACAAACGAGTTCTATATGATGGGGAAAGAAGCCACAAATTTTAGTGGCTTGTGGAAAACCTTCAAATTTTTTGGGTACATGTTAATACCTAAAGTATTTAAGGTAAGCTCACTACTGTTTCTACTATTTTGGTGCCAATTTGAATTTTTCTTGTAGTATTTTAAGATAACTATGTTTTCAAAAAACGTCGGACAGTTTTTCACTAATTTGGTTAAAAGTAACATCCATAGTCGCCTAAAACATGGTATTGTTAGACCCGATATGGTTCATCTTCTCCTCGAGGCTCGTAAAAACGGGCTTAAATACGACGACAGCGAACCCATTCAAGACATAGGTTTTGCCACAGTTGCAGAGTCCGAAATTAACAAAAACCCCAAAAACATCAAAACAGAAATTACCGATCAAGATATCGTCGCTCAAGCTTTCGTTTTCTTCATATCTGGGTTTGACTCAGTGGCCATAGTCCTGTGTTTCATGTCTCACGAACTCGCTCTTAACCCAGACATTCAAAACAGGCTGATCCAAGAAGTTGACGAAACTCTGGAAGCTTGCAAAGGCAAACTTACCTACGATGGTCTTCTTGGTATGAAATACTTGGATATGGTTGTCTCTGAAACTTTGAGAAAGTGGCCTAACGCTGTTGGTTTGGACAGAATTTGTACAAAACCCTACACCATCGAGCCTAAATACCCTGGTGAGAGAGCTGTTCATTTGGAAAAGAATACCGTTGTTTGGGTCCCCGTTTTTGGTCTCCATAGAGATCCACAATATTATCCAGAACCAGAACGTTTTGATCCCGAAAGGTTTAGCGATGAAAACAAGACCAATATTAAACCCTACACCTACATGCCTTTTGGGATTGGACCTAGAAATTGTATTGCTTCTAGATTTGCCCTCCTGGAGATTAAAGCCTTGTTCTTCCATATTTTGTCACATTTCGAAATAATTCCTGTGGAGAAGACTCAAATACCTCTAGTGCTAAGCAAGAAACACATGAATATAACTGCTGAAAATGGGTTCTGATTAGGACTTAAACGCAGGTCCAGGGTTTAAATTGATATAATTATTACTTATATAAATATAAATAAAAATAATGTGTAGCTGCTACAATGATGAGATTAAAATTATAAATATCTATTTTTTGTTTCACTTATGTGTTTTATGTCTTACGAACTTGCTCTTAACCCCGACGTCCAAAAAAGACTTGCCCAAGAAATAGATGACACTGTGGAAGCTTGTAACGGGAAACTTACCTACGAGGCTCTCCTTGGTATGAAGTATATGGATATGGTTGTTTCCGAAACCTTAAGAAAGTGGCCCAATGCTACTGCTGTGGATAGGGTTTGCACGAAACCCTACACCATCGAGCCCAAATATCCCGATGAGAGTCCCGTCCACTTGGAAAAAAATGCTGTTGTTTGGTTGCCCATTTTTGCTCTGAATCGGGATCCTGACCATTGTCCAGAACCAGAGCTGTTTGATCCAGAAAGGTTTAACGATGAGAACAAGGTTAATATCAAACCGTACACGTACCTGCCTTTTGGGTCTGGACCTAGGAACTGTATTGGTTCCAGGTTTGCCCTATTAGAGACTAAAACGTTGTTCTTTTATATTTTGTCACATTTCGAGATAGTTCCTGTGAGGAAAACTCAAATACCTTTAGTTCTAAGTAAGAAGCAATTTAATTTGACTGCCGAGAATGGATTTTGGTTAGGGCTTAAACGTCGGACTAGAGTCTAAATAGAAAATCAGATTCCTATTTTGTGAAACATTATACGAATTATGGATGTACCTAATTTAAGATATTTTACTAAAAATAACCATTTATTTCTGGGCAACTTTCCAAAATTTCAAAAATTTTGCTTCGAGACAATTAACTCTTTATGTTTTTCGAATTGGTTTTGAAAATTTTTATTTAACTTTTCGAAAATCTCAATTTTTCAATTCAACTGTGTATGCATTTTTTGACCGTTTTTCGAGATTTCGATATATTAAGAAAAAACACTTTCAAGGGAATTTTTCGGAAATTTTAATTTATGTAACACTATCTTTTTTGAACCAGTTCGTCGAGGTCTATCCCAAAATTTATTGAGAAATATTAGGCAACTTTCCGAAATTTTGAAAATTTCGCTTGGGGACAACATTTAACTCTTTATGTTTTTCAAATTGTCTCTCAAAATGTATTTTCCAGAATTTTGTGAGGATTTTTAGACAACTTTCAATACAATTCTGTATGAATCTTTTTCAAGATTTCGAGAAAAAAAAAACATCATCTCCAAACCGAATTTTTCGAAAATTTTAGTTTGTGGCTATTTACGTTATGTTTTTCGGATCAGCTCGTCGAAATCTCTATCTATAACTTTTTGAGGATTTTTAAATAATTCTTATAAAATTTCAATATTTCAATATCCCCCGTATGAATTTCATCACCGTTTTTCGAGTTCTAGAAATATTTAAAAAATTTCAATTTGAAACCGAATTTTTCGAAAATTATTTGTCCGGAACAATTAACGCTTAATATTTTTCGGATCCGCTCGTTAAAATGTATTTTCCAGCAATTTTATGAGGATTTTTAAGCAACTTTTCAATATTGTCGCCTTATGAATTTAACCGTCTTCGAAGATTTCGATTTTATTTTCAAACCGAATTTTCAAAAATTTGGCTCCAGAATTTTATAAGGATATTTAAAAAAAACATTTCGAAAAAGAATTTTTTGAAAATTTTTGTCCAATCAGCTCGTTAAAATATATTTTCCAGAATTTTATGAGGATTGTTCCGCAGTTTTTAGAAAATCTCAATTTTCCAACACCTCCTTTATGAATTTTATAACCGTTTTTTGAATTTTCGAAGATCTTGTTCTTGTCATCTCATAGAAACCTATATCCCAGAATTTTTTTAGGAATTTTAGTTTTTAAAAATGTCAATATTTCAATATCCCTCCTGTATTAATTTTATTACCGTTTTCGAGCTCTCTTTTGAAAAGTTTAGTTTGGGACGATCTTTTTCGAATCAGCTCATCAAGGTCTATGTTCTGACATTTTTTGAGAAATTTTAAGCAACTTTTCAAAATTTTCTACACCAAAAAGAGGAGGGGTTTTTTGGAGATTTCGAGATATTTAGAAAAATCCACTTTCAATGTAATTTTTCGAAAATTTTGGTTAGGGTATGTTATGTCTGTCTCAAAATTTATAGAGAAATTTTGAGCAACTTTCCAAAATTTCAAAAATTTGCTTCCAGACAATTAACTCTTTATGTTTTTCGAATTGGTTTTGAGAATTTTTAATTGACTTATCGAAAATCTCAATTTTTCAATACAACTCTGTATGCATTTTTTGACCGTTTTTCGAGATTTCGAGACATTAAAAAAAACACTTTCAAGGGAATTTTTCATAAATTTTGATTCATTTTAATTTTAATTTATGTAACACTATCTTTTTTGAACCAGTTCGTCGAGGTCTATACCAAAATTTATTGAGAAATATTAGGCAACTTTTCAAAATTTTGAAAATTTAGCTTGGGGACAATATTTAACACTTTATGTTTTTTAAATTGTCTCTCAAAATGTATTTCCCAGAATTTTGTGAGGATTTTTAGGCAACTTTCAATACAATTCTGTATGAATCTTTTTCAAGATTTCGAGATAAAAAAAATCATCTCCAAACCGAATTTTTCGAAATTTCAATATCTCCCAAATGAATTTCATCACCATTTTTCGAGTTCTAGAAATATTTAAAAAATTTCAATTTGAAACCGAATTTTTCGAAAATTATTTGTCCGGAACAATTAACGCTTAATATTTTTCGGATCCGCTCGTCAGAACGTATTTTCCAGAAATTTTATGAGGATTTTTAAGCAACTTTTCAAAATTGTCAAATTTTAATATTCCTCTCCCCGTCTTATGAATTTAACATTCCGAGATTTCGATTTCATTTTCAAACCGAATTTTCAAAAATTTGGCTCCAGAATTTTATAAGGATATTAAAAAAAAAATTTCGAAAAAGAATTTTTTGAAAATTTTTGTCCGATCAGCTCGTTAAAATATATTTTCCAGAAATTTATGAGGATTGTTCCGCAGTTTTTAGACCCCCTCTATGAATTTTATAACCGTTTTTTGAATTTTCGAAGATCTGTTCTTGTCATCTCATAGAAACCTATATCCCAGAATTTTTTTAGGAATTTTAGTTTTTAAAAATGCAAATATTTCAATATCCCTTCTGTATTAATTTTATTACCGTTTTCGAGCTCTCTTTTGAAAAGTTTAGTTTGGGATGATCTTTTCCGAATCAGCTCATCAGAGTCTGTTCTAAAATTTTTTGAGAAATTTTAGGCAACTTTTCAAAATTTTCTACACCAAAAAGAATTTTTCGAAAATCCGGGTCCGGAACCATCAACACTTTTACTTTCCAGAATTTTTTGGGGGGGTTTTTGAAGATTTCGAGATATTTAAAAAAATCCACTTTCAATGTAATTTTTCGAAAATTTTGATTTGGGTATGTTATGTCTATGTTTCAAAATTTATTGAGAAATTTTGGGCAACTTTCAAAAATTTCAAAAATTTGCTTCGAGACAATTAACTCTTTATGTTTTTCGAATTGGTTTTTTCAGTACAACTCTGTATGCATTTTTTAACCGTTTTTCGAGATTTCGAGATATTAAGAAAAAACACTTTCAAGGGAATTTTTCGGAAATTTTGATTTATTTTAATTTTAATTTATTTAACACTATCTTTTTTGAACCAGTTGGTCGAGGTCTATCCCAAAATTTATTGAGAAATATTAGGCAACTTTCCAAAATTTTGAAAATTTAGCTTGGGGACAATAATTAACACTTTGTTTTTCAAATTTTCAACACAACCTGGTACGAACCTCTTTTCGAGATTTCCAAATTAAAAAAAAATATTTTCAAACAAAATTTTTCGTAAATTTAGGTTTGGAGCTATAACACTTTATGTTTATCGAATCAGTTTCTCGAAATGTATATAATTTCCCAGAAGTCAATTTTTCGGAAACCTCTGTTTTTCGTTACAAGTCTGTTTGCATTTTTGACCATTTTTCAAGATTTCGAGATATTTAAAAAAATCCACTTTCAAGAAAATTTTTCGAAAATTTTGGTTAATTTTAATTTTAATTTATTTAACACTTTTCTGAATCAGTTCGTCGAGGTCTATGTCCTAAAACTTATTGAAAAATGTTAGGCAACCTTCCAAAATTTCAGAAATTTTGCTTCGAATGGGTTTCTCGAAATATAATTTTAAGATGTTTGTAAGGATTTTTAAATACAATAATCCTGAATTAATCGTTTTTCGAGATTTTTAAATTAACAAAAACATGTTCAAACACTTTATGTTTTTTGAGAAGTTTTAAGTAAATTTTCGAAAATCTCGATTTTTCAGAATTGGAGATACCTAACAATTTTCATATCAAAACCGAATTTTTTGAAAATCTTGTCGACATGTAGTTATTTCCCAAAATTTTGTGAGGATTTTTAGGCAACTTTAAAAAAAAATTCAATTTGTCAATGTATTACCGTGTGACTTTTTTACCATTTTTTGAGCTCTAGAGACATTTAAAAATTTTCAAACCAGCACCATTGACACCTGTATATTTAAATTGGTTCGTCGAGATCTAAATCCCGCAGAATTTTTGTGAATTTTTAGGCATATTTTTGGAAAAAATTGGGACTTTGGTGGACTTTTGATAAAAAAAACCTACTTTATTGGCAGCAATGCTATAGTATGTTAGTTCAAATATGTTGAGAAAATGGTACCTACTGACATGGTGTCAAAAATGTCAATTTGTCAGGAATGCCATCATAAAATTTTAAATACGTTGCCAAACTTACAAAAAAACCACAAACATTAATATGATCGTTTGATACTTCCAGAACATTTGTAAATACTCATATAATGGATAAATACTTATAATAAAAGTCGAATTTCACTTGTCCATCCTTGATGTCATTTTCATTAATTAAAAAATAATAATAATAATTTTCATAGAAAACATAACATCGTTTCGTTGTTATAATAATGACATATACGGACGAATCAATAAAAACTATTCACACACCTCTCCAAACTGTCATAGATAATTCTACGACAACAATACCAAAAAAGGAACTCATTGTAATCTCTATGTCCATAAAAGGAATTAACCGATATGCTCACGCTTCCCCTCCAACTCACCTACAACCAATCAGAAACGAAACTCCTAGCGCTATACTGTTTGAAATAACTATGGAAGGGTATAAAATAGGCAGCAAGGTCTCATCATTTTTATTCAAAACATCGAAAAAGAACAAACATGTTAATTATTATTGTTTAATAATTTCACGATGTGGTGGATATTGGCCTCTATAGTAGCCGCCCTTTGGGGATACTGGTTTTTGATCCGCCCCCACAAGTTCTGGACAAGAAAAGGCGTACCGCAAGGAACCCCAAGGTTTATTTTGGGGGACACCTGGGGAACGTTTTTGGGAAAACAATCGCCTGCAGAAATGGTGGAGATGGTTTACAAAATGTGTCCAAATACCAGGTGGGTAAAAAAAATTGTATACCATGTGCTAACTAATCTCTCCACATTTCAGGTACTCAGGCTGCTACCAATTTTTACTGCCAACCCTTGTGCTCAAAGACCCCGACCTCATCAAACAAATCACAGTCAAAGACTTCGACCATTTTGAAGACCACCGAAGTTTGATCCAGGAAGACAGCGACCCACTATGGACCAAAAACCTTTTCGCTCTAAATGGTAAAAAGTGGCGCGAAATGCGGGCTACACTAAGTCCAGCTTTCACCAGCAGCAAAATGAAGTACATGTTCACTTTAATCTCACAAACTGGCGAACAATTTGTAAAATATTTTTTGACACAAGACCAAAATCGTACTACTTTTGAAATGAAAGACATCTTCACTAGATTCACTAACGACGTCATCGCCAACACCGCTTTCGGAGTCGAGTGTGACTCGTTGGTGGACAGGACAAACGAGTTCTATATGATGGGGAAAGAAGCCACAAATTTTAGTGGCTTGTGGAAAACCTTCAAATTTTTTGGGTACATGTTAATACCTAAAGTATTTAAGGTAAGCTGACTACTGTTTCTACTATTTTGGTGTCAATTTGAATTTTTTTGTAGTATTTTAAGATTACTATGTTTTCAAAAAACGTCGGACAGTTTTTCACTAATTTGGTCAAGAGCAACATCCAGAGTCGCCTAAAACATAGTATTGTTAGACCCGATATGGTTCATCTTCTCCTCGAGGCTCGAAAAAACGGGCTTAAGTATGACGACAGCGAACCCCTTCAAGACACCGGTTTTGCCACAGTTGCAGAGTCCGAAATCAACAAGAACCCCAAAAACATCAAAACGGAAATTACCGATCAAGATATCGTCGCTCAAGCTTTCGTTTTTTTCTTAGCTGGGTTTGACTCAGTGGCCACAGTCATGTGTTTCATGTCTCACGAACTTGCTCTTAACCCAGACATTCAAAACAGGCTGATCCAAGAAGTAGACGAAACTCTGGAAGCTTGCAAAGGCAAACTTACCTACGATGGTCTTCTTGGTATGAAATACTTGGATATGGTTGTTTCTGAAACTTTAAGAAAGTGGCCTAACGCTGTTGGTTTGGACAGAATTTGTACAAGACCCTACACCATCGAGCCTAAATACCCTGACGAGAGAGCTGTTCATTTGGAAAAGAATACCGTTGTCTGGGTGCCCGTTTTTGGTCTCCATAGAGATCCGCAATTTTATCCAGAACCAGAACGTTTTGATCCTGAAAGGTTTAGCGATGAGAACAAGGCCAATATTAAACCCTACACCTACATGCCTTTTGGGTCTGGTCCTAGAAATTGTATTGGTTCTAGATTTGCCCTCTTGGAGATTAAAACCTTGTTCTTCTATATTTTGTCACATTTCGAAATAGTTCCTGTGGAGAAAACTCAAATACCTCTAGTGCTAAGCAAGAAACACATGAATATCACTGCTGAAAATGGGTTCTGGTTAGGACTTAAACGCAGGTCCAGGGTTTAAATTGATATAATCATTAGTTATGTAAATATAAATAAAAATAGTATGTAGCTGCTACAATGATGAGATTTAAATTATAAACATCTACTTTTTATTGTTATAATGATCTACGGTGACCTCGATGAATGAATCATATAAAATTAGATGCAGACCCGTCCAACTTCTAGCGAGCGAAAGTTATTCAACCGTGTGTCAATTTTACATCAGATTTCATTCGATTGCTGGAGATAACAAAATTTATGGATAGTCAGTCTAAAAGTTCCCACCTTACTTGTGAAATATTAAATCATTATTTAATTTTTTTTTATAAAATATAGAACCTGTGCAAAAACCAATATTTAATAACGAATTTTCTATAGGAAAGTGACCCGTTTTTCCAATTTTCTCCCTCCATTTCATTCACAGTTAAACACAAACCGCGCTTCTTGCGTCACTTGTTTGAGATAAACACAGGCCGGTATAAAACCGCCAGTGAGAGGTCATCATCAGTCATTATTATTCAGAACACTGACCACGAACAAAATTGGATAACTGTGGTAAGCGATCCTAATTAGAGAAATTAGGTCCCCAGTCATTGTTTGAATCAAAGTGTCCTTCAACTTGGCAAATATTATTTATCGGAGATTGTTTTCCAGTGTCATTAGGTCTGCACGATGTGGTGGATAGTGATCGCTGTGGCCGCCTTTGCTGTGGGATACTGGTTGCTGGTGCGCCCCCACAAGTACTGGCTGGAAAAGGGGGTGAAGCAAGGAAATCCCGGATTTATTTTTGGGGATAATTGGGGAAACGTGATGCGAAAACAGTCCTTTGCCGACATGGTAGTGATGGTTTATAATATGTGCCCAAAAACCAGGTGGGTAAAAAATTTTGGTTTATTTACTGATTAGTTGCGTCACTAAATTAACAACAATGTTACTTGTCAATATTTAAACAGTGTCTAGTTTTTATTTTTAACTGAATATTGATTCAACTAAGATAAAAACAAATATTACTGAAATGTTTATGGTATTAAGGGATTTCACTGTTTTTGTTTTGGTACTTTAGGTACTCAGGCTTCTATCAGTTTTTGGTACCAACGCTTGTCCTAAAAGACCCCGAGCTCATCAAACAAATCACCGTGAAGGACTTCGACCACTTTGTAGACCACCGAACTTTTATTCCAGAAGATAGTGACCCACTTTGGGGTAAAAACCTGTTCGCTTTGACTGGTAAAAAATGGCGCGAAATGCGAACTACCCTCAGTCCGGCTTTCACCAGCAGCAAAATGAAATATATGTTCACTTTAATATCACAAAGTGGTGAACAATTCGTAAAATACTTTTTGAAAAAAGACGAAGACCTCATCACCGTCGAAATGAAAGACACCTTCACTAGATTCACCAATGACGTCATCGCCAACACCGCTTTTGGAGTGGAGTGCGATTCTCTGGGGGAGAGGAAAAATGAGTTCTACATGATGGGAAAAGATGCCACAGATTTTAGTGGTTTTTGGAAAAGTATGAAGTTCTTTGGATACTTTCTAATTCCCAGTATTTTTAAAGTAAGGTCATTATTGTTTTGACTACTTTTCAATTAATTTACTATTTTTTTAGTTCTTTAAAGTAACACTGTTTTCAAAACAAGTCGCCGACTTCTTCACTAGTCTAGTCAAGAGCAACATTCAAAGCCGCGAAAAACACGGGATTGTACGCCCTGACATGATCCACCTTCTCCTGGAAGCTCGCAAAAACGGGCTCAAACACGAAGAAACCGAACCTATTCAAGACACAGGTTTTGCCACAGTGGCGGAATCCGAAATCAACAAAAACCCCAAAAACATGAAAGCGGAAATTACAGATCAAGACATCACGTCTCAAGCTTTAATTTTTTTCTTCGCTGGATTTGACTCAGTGTCTGCACTCATGTGCTTTATGTCCTACGAACTAGCACTTAACCCAGACGTCCAGAAAAGACTTGCTGAAGAAATAGACGAAACTGTGGAAGCTTGTAAAGGGAAACTTACCTATGAGGCTCTCCTTGGTATGAAATATATGGATATGGTTGTTTCTGAAACCTTAAGAAAGTGGCCCAATGCGGTAGCTGTGGACAGAGTTTGTACAAAACCCTACACTATCGAGCCTAAATATCCCGACGAGAGTCCTGTCCACTTGGAAAAAGATGCTGTTGTTTGGTTGCCCATTTTTGCTCTGCATCGGGATCCTGAACATTATCCAGAACCAGAGCGGTTTGATCCAGAAAGGTTTAACGATGAAAACAAGGTTAATATTAAGCCGTACACGTACCTGCCTTTTGGGTCTGGACCCAGAAACTGTATTGGTTCCAGATTTGCCCTATTAGAAACTAAAACGTTATTCTTTTATATTTTATCACATTTCGAGATAGTTCCTGTGGGGAAGACCCAGATACCTTTAGTTTTAAGTAAGAAGCAATTTAATTTGACAGCCGAAAATGGGTTTTGGTTAGGGCTTAAACGTCGGACTAAAGTCTAAGTGGTCCAACCCAAATAGAAAATAAGATTCCTACTTTGTAAAACATTATACGAATTATGGATGTACATAATTTAAGATATTTTAATAAAAATAACCATTTATTTATTTGCGATGTGAATTAATCCATAGTCTAAAATAATTTAAAGACGTCAATTCAATTACGCCGAAACTTATTGATTAAAATTGATATGATAAGAGAATGAAGGTCAAAAGGTTATCATCAGTCAATAATCATCCACAGCACTGGCCAAGGACAAATAATAACATTGGTAAGCGCCTGTAATTAGAATAATAAGGCTCCCACTCAAATGTTTAGATGAAGTCATCCTTCAATGTGAAAAGCAATGTTTACTACACGAGTCTGATTTCCAGTGTTATTAGATCAGCACGATGTGGTGGATACTGGTTGTTGTAGCAGCCGCCGTTGTCTTGGGGTACTGGTTGGTGATCCGCCCCCACAGGTACTGGTTGAAAAAGGGGGTGAAGCAGGGAACTCCAGGGTTTATTTTTGGGATGAATTTGGGAATGCTTTTCCAAAAAAAGTCGTATGCGGAAATAGCTGAAATGGTTTATAATGTGTGTCCAAATAACAGGTAGGCAAAAATTTTGCAGACTTAATTACTTGAATCAAAAAGTTATTGACTTGTTTCTGTCACGATGAAAAGGGTGTCCTTTGAGTTTCTCAGTAGATGGGGCCGCTTCGGATCCCGCGGAGGCGGCGACACTGAAAAGTGGATTGGATGGGGGGTAAATAGCTCATTTTCACTGTTACGATTTTTAAACCAATAATAATAAAAACGCGTGTTTCAAAGATTATTTTTTTAGTCATGTTGACGTGTGCCCTAATTAATGCTAATAAAGGTTCAATTACATTAATATTTTTGACGTGAAAATAAACTAGTGCTCGAAATTTATGTATTGGCATACTACATACACTATTTTTTATTTAAAACCGTAGTTTATTCGCATATCGCAAGATATTTGGTGGATTTGCTTAGAAGGGTTTGCTTCTGCAATTAAAATTCTAGTTTATTAATCCTTCTACAACATGAAAGTCCGAAACTATTTATTAATGAGAACGAATTTTTATCGAAAAACATATTATATCTCATCTGATTTGACCTGATGACCTGATCTGACCTGATTTGACCTGACCTGATCTGATCTGACCCGACCCGATCTTTTTTTTTCTATGAAAGGGGAAATCCTCATGGGCACCGGGGACTTAGGCTCGACCGTCCCTGGTAGTGCCAGGACTTTTATCGGCTAAAACCTCTTCCTCGACCAGCTGTTCTCCTACCCCCCGGACCCGCGTTAGGTCGGTTGTCACTTTCTTTTTCCTTGTCCATATTCATCCTAATCTTTTTCTCAAGATTTTTTTTGGACGACACTACACAACACTCTCCTTTTACTCGCCCTGGGTCCTCCTACATTGAATAGGAGTCGGCCCAGAGCACCCACAACCATCTTTGCCTTCCTTACCAACCGTTCGACTTGCTCGGCCACCCTGAGGTTTCTGTGAATTTCCACCCCATGGTACCTCACCGCTTCCCGGGCCTCGATCATTCTGCCTTCCATACACACACTCATTTCTCGCATCGTCCTTTTTCCTACCAAGAGCACCGCTTCGCTCTTATCGGGTGCGAGTGAGAGACCATTGTCCCGCATCCATACATCCACGAGCTGTAGTGCCTCTTGGGTCCTTTTTCTCAGGTCCTCTTCACTCTTTCTTATCACTATCACTGCCAGATCATCCATAATCATCCATTGTCATAAAATATGTTCCACAGGAGCGGCCCCAGGACCGATCGTTGCGGAACCCCGGCAGTCATTTCAAACTCACCCATCTCCGTTTGAACCGCTCTATCACTCAGATATGACCGCACCACGTTCACATCGCCATGCTAACCAAATGTTCCAGAATCCCCCTCTACAATACACCATGTACCCACATTTGGTCCTCTAGCGTACCCACGAGCATCCATACTGCGTCTCCGCCAAGTCTCCGAAACTCCGAACGTCGTTCCTCAGTCTCTGGACCAATATTCCCTCATACAGCTTGTCCATTCCATTCAGCAGGCAGATGGGCCTATATTTCTCTTTCTCTCCTTCCTTTCTTTCTTTCTCGATCAGCCATCTTCCATTCCCTGGGAACTTGCCCCTTTTCCAGACATTTATTTATTACCTCCAGACATTCTTTTTACATTCTTTACATACCTGTGGTGGTATTCTGGGTTCAACCATAATTCTTTATCTCATCTCTCCACTAAGATCGAAAACACAGTGCCGGTTTCCGGTGTCGCGTCGGCGCGGTTGTCGCGAATTAACCACTGCCCCTCACAAAATTTTCTTCCTTACTACAACAAGGAATAACCACTAAGTATGATCTGTGATACTTTAGGTACTTCGGCACCTACCAGTTTTTCCAAGCAACACTTCAACTAAAGGACCCTGATCTCATCAAACAGATCACCGTCAAAAACTTTGACCACTTTGTAGACCACCGAACTTTGCTCCCAGAAGATATCGACCCACTATGGAGTAAAAACCTTTTCGCACTAAGTGGCAATAAGTGGCGCGAAATGCGAACAACACTCAGTCCAGCTTTCACCAGCAGCAAAATGAAATACATGTTCACTTTAATATCACAAAGTGGTCAACAATTTGTAAACTACTTTGTACAAAAAGACGAGAATCTCATTACTGTTGAAATAAAAGATACCTTCACTAGATTCGCTAGTGATGTCATTGCGAATACCGCCTTTGGAGTACAATGTGACTCATTGAGAGACAGGGAAAACGAGTTTTATATGATGGGTAAAGAAGCTACCGATTTCAGTGGCCTGAAGGTTTTCAGATTGATTGGATACTTCTTAATACCCAATGTATTTAAGGTAACATCAACGTTATTTTAACATTTATTTAATTAAACACACACATTTTTTTAGTTTTTTAATCTAACACTGTTTCCAAAAGAAGTTGGCCAATTTTTCAACAATCTAGTCAAAAGCAACATTCAAAGTCGCGAAAAACACGGGATAGTTAGGCCTGACTTGATCCATCTTCTTCTCGAAGCTCGCAGAAACGGGTTTAAACACGAAGACATCGAACCATTTCATGACGAAGGTTTTGCCACAGTCGAAGAATCGGAAATACACAAAAACCCCAAAAACCCTAAACCAGAAATTACAGACCAAGACATCACCGCGCAAGCTGCACTTTTCTTCTTCGCTGGTTTTGACTCAGTGTCCATACTCATGTGCTTCATGTGTCACGAACTTGCTGTTAATCCAGACGTCCAGAAGAAACTTATTCAGGAAGTCGATGATACCGTGGAAGCTTGTCAGGGCAAACTAACTTACGAAGCTCTACTTGGTATGAAATACATGGATATGGTTGTCTGTGAAAGTTTAAGAAAGTGGCCCAATCCAGTGTCTGTGGATAGAATTTGCACAAAACCCTACACCATCGAGCCGAAATATCTCGATGAGGAACCTGTTCACTTGGAAAAGAACGACATTGTTTGGTTGCCCATTTTTGGACTTCATCGAGATCCTCAGTATTATCCAGAGCCCGAGCGGTTTGATCCTGAAAGATTTAAGGACGAGAACAAGGCTAAGATTAAACCATACACCTACTTGCCTTTTGGATCTGGACCTAGGAATTGTATTGGTTCCCGATTTGCTCTCTTGGAAACTAAAACGCTATTCTTTTATATTTTGTCACATTTCGAGATAGTTCCAGTGGAGAAGACTCAAATTCCTTTAGTTTTAAGCAAGAAGCAGTTTAATCTGACTGCCGAGAATGGGTTTTGGTTAGGGTTTCAACGCCGCTCGAAATAACACACGAATTATGTTTTAATAAAAATAAACCTTTAGTTAAGACGTATTATTAATCTACATTCTAGAGACCTTCACGAAAAAAATGTTGACATCATAATATATTGTCATCATTATCAACCGAACCACTGACCAAGAGCAAAATTGATAACACCGGTAAGTGATTCGAATTAGCAAAATTAGATCTCCACTCAATTGTTTAAATGAAATTGCCCTTCACCTTAGTAAACATCAATGTTCAGTAATCGTTTTCCAGTGTTGTTAGGTCTGCACGATGTGGTGGATAGTGGTCGCTATAGCTGCTCTTGCTGTGGGGTACTGGTTGCTGATTCGTCCCCACAGGTACTGGTTGGAAAAGGGAGTGAAACAAGGAAATCCAGGATTTATTTTTGGGGATAATTGGTTCTACGAAAACAGTCTACTGCGGACATGATCGAAATGGTTTATAATATGTGTCCAAATACCAGGTGGGTACAATTTTGAATCTTTGTATGATTAGTGAAAAATCGTGTTTTAGATACACAGGCATGTACCAGTTTTTACTACCAACCCTTGTAATAAAGGACCCTGATTTAATCAAACGGATGACAGTCAAAGACTTTGACCACTTTGTAGACCACCGGACTTTTATTCCGGAAGACAGCGATCCACTATGGGGTAAAAATCTTTTTGCTTTGACTGGTAAAAAGTGGCGCGAAATGCGAGCTACTCTCAGTCCGGCCTTCACCAGCAGCAAAATGAAATTTATGTTCTCTTTAATATCACAAAGTGGTGAACAATTCGTCAATTTTTTCTTGAAAAAGAACCAAGAACTGATTACTGTTGAAATGAAAGACATCTTAACTAGATTCACCAATGACGTCATCGCCAACACTGCTTTTGGAGTGGAATGTGATTCTTTGGGGGACAGAGAAAACGAGTTCTACCTGATGGGAAAAGAAGCTACAGATTTGAGTGGCCTTTGGAAAAATCTCAAATTGTTTGGATACATTTTAGTACCCAGATTAGCTACGGTAAACTCTATAGTTTTCACAATTTTTAGCTAATTCAAGTTTTTTTAGTTGTTTAAGTTCAAACTGTTTTCAAAAACAGTTGGCGACTTTTTCACTAACCTGATCAAGAACAATATTCGAAGCCGCGAAAAACACGGAATTCTAAGACGTGACATGATCCATCTTCTCCTTGAAGCTCGAAAATACCGGCTGAAATACGAAGAAACCGAACCAATTCAAGACACAGGTTTTGCCACTGCCACAGAATCCGAAGTCATTGCAAGCCCCATTAATACAAAAACTGAAATTACAGATGATGATATCACCTCACAAGCTTTAATGTTCTTCTTCGCTGGGTTCGAGACGGTGTCCATACTCATGTGCTTTATGTCTCACGAACTTGCTGTCCATCCAGACATCCAAAAAAGACTCATTCAAGAAGTAGATGAAACTCTGGAGGCTTGTAGAGGTAAACTGACTTACGAGAGTCTTCTTGGTATGAAATATATGGACATGGTTGTCTCAGAATCTTTAAGAAAATGGCCCAATCCTGTCTTGGATAGAATTTGCACTAAATCTTACACCATCGACCCTAAATATCCCGATGAGAGACCTGTTCACTTGAGAAAAGGTGATGTTATTTGGCTGCCAGTTTTTGGTATTCATCGAGATCCTCAATACTATCCAGAACCAGAGCGTTTTGATCCTGAAAGATTTAACGATGAAAACAAAGTCAATATTAACCCTTACACGTATCTGCCTTTTGGATCGGGACCTAGGAATTGTATTGGTTCCAGATTTGCTCTCTTGGAGACTAAAACCTTGTTCTTTTATATTTTGTCGAATTTTAAAATAGTTCCAGTGGAGAAGACTCAAATTCCTTTAGTTTTAAGCAAAAAGCAATTTAATTTGACTGCGGAAAATGGGTTTTGGTTAGGGTTTAAACGTCGCTCAAAAGCTTAGGATTTGTATCTAATATATTATTAATATATTATAACCAGTTATTTATGGTGTCTTATTAAAATAACACCTAAAAATTGTCTTTTACTCAAACCTAAATATTACGAGTGATAAGATAAGATAAGAGACTGGAGGTTAAAGAGTGAAATCTATAAGTCTTTTAAGAAATCAAATCAGCACCAATGGATAGTATAAAACAGACAGAACGAGGTGATTATCAGCCATTATCATCCAAAACACTAACCAAGTACAAAACTGATAACACTGGTAAGTGTTTCGAATTAGTAAAATTATGTTTCCTCTCAATTATTTAAATTAAGTTGCCCTTCACCTTAGCAATTAACAATGAGAAGTAATGCTTTTCCAGTAGTGTTAGGTCTGCACGATGTGGTGGATAGTGGTCGCTATAGCAGTTCTCGCTGTGGGTTACTGGTTACTGATTCGCCCCCATAAGTACTGGTTAGAAAAGGGGGTGAAACAAGGAAATCCAAAATTTATTTTTGGGGATAACTGGGGAACTGTTCTTCGAAAACAGTCCTTTGCTGAATTGATTGAAATGGTTTACAATATGTGTCCAAATACGAGGTGAGTAATTAATAAAAACTGAGTATGTATGTATTATTTTACCCGTAGTATTTTAGATACACTGGCATCTACCAATTTTTACAACCAATACTCGTAATAAAGGACCCTGATCTAATTAAACAGATTACAGTGAAAGATTTCGACCACTTTGTAGACCACCCAACTTTGATTCCAGCAGACAGTGACCCACTATGGGGTAAAAACCTGTTGACTTTAACTGGTAAAAAATGGCGTGAAATGCGAACTACCCTCAGTCCGGCTTTCACCAGCAGCAAAATGAAATTCATGTTCTCTTTAATATCAAAAAGTGGTGAACAATTCGTTAATTTTTTCCTGAAAAAGGACCAAGAACTTATTACTGTTGAAATGAAAGATACCTTAACTAGATTCACTAATGACGTCATCGCCAATACTGCTTTTGGAGTAGAATGTGATTCTTTAGGAGAGAGGGAAAACGAGTTTTATATGATGGGAAAAGAAGCCACAGATTTTAGTGGCCTTTGTAAAAATCTCAAATTCATTGGATACATTTTAGTACCCAAATTATTGAAGGTAAATTAATTGTGTTTTCACCAAACTTTTGTGTTAACTTACGATTTTTGTAGCTCTTTAAGATAAAACTGTTTTCCAAAGAAGTCGCCGACTTTTTCACTAACTTAATCAAGAGCAACATTCAAAGCCGGGAAAAGCATGGAATTGTAAGACCTCCATCTTTTGCTCGAAGCCCGGAAAAATCGACTTAAACACGAAGAAAACGAACCCCTTCAAGACACAGGTTTTGCCACAGTTGTGGAATCCGCAATCAACAAAAACCCCACAAACCCAAAAATAGAAATTACAGATGAAGATATCACTTCGCAAGCTGTAATTTTCTTCTTCGCTGGATTCGAGACAGTGTCCTTACTTATGTCCTTTACGTGTCACGAGCTTGCTGTTAATCCAGACATCCAAAACCGACTCACTCAAGAAGTAGATGAAACTCTGGAAGCTTGCAAGGGGAAACTTACTTACGAAGCTCTCCTTGGTATGAAATACTTGGACATGGTTATCTCTGAATCCTTAAGAAAATGGCCGAATCCCATTAATGTGGATAGAGTTTGCACAAAACTCTATACTATCGAGCCTAAGTACCCTGATGAGAAACCCGTTCACTTGGAAACTAATGCTGTTGTTTGGTTACCAATTTTTGGAATACATCGTGATCCTCAGTATTATCCTGAACCAAAACGTTTTGATCCTGAAAGGTTTAGTGATGAAAACAAGGCCAAGATTAAACCATACACGTATCTGCCTTTTGGTTCTGGACCTAGAAGTTGTATTGGTTCCAGACTTGCTCTTTTGGAGACTAAAACGTTGTTTTTTTATATTTTGTCACATTTCGAGATCGTTCCTGTGGAGAAAACTCAGATACCTTTAGTTATAAGTAAGAAGCAGTTTAATATGACTGCGGAAAATGGGTTTTGGGTAGGGCTTAATCGTCGCTCTAGAGTCTAGGTGTTCATAAATAAATGGAAAGTGAGTTTTATACCTGGTGTAAATTACCATATGTGTGTACCTAATATATTATTATTATTAATAGACGGTAATAAAAACATAACCTGTTATTTATGATGTATTAAAATCCTGATATATAGAGATCATAGAATCTTTAACAAAAATAAATAAAACAACAACAGAATTAAAATCAGGAATTAATTGAAGAAACGGGACTCAAATTATCAAACAACATTAAATAATACCAAAAATTGTCTTTTAGCCAAACTTAAATTTTAGGAGTGATAAATAAGATAAGCGATTGGAGGTTAAAGGGTAAAACGTATAACAACATTCTTTTAAGAAATCAATAAATTACTTGTATCACATGTTTGACAGCACCAACGTATAGTATAAAACAGGCAGCACGAGGTCATCATCAGCCATTATCATACAAAACACTAACCAATAACAAAACTAATAATACTAGTGAGTGATTCGAATTAGTAAATTTATACCTCACCTCAGTTATTTAAATGAAGTTGTCCTTCAACTTAGCAACTATCAACAACAAGTAATGTTTTTCCAGTTGTGTTAGATCTGCACGATGTGGTGGATACTGGTCGCCATAGCAGCTCTCGCTGTGGGATACTGGTTACTGATCCGCCCCCACAGGTACTGGTTGGAAAAGGGAGTGAAACAAGGAAATCCAGGATTTATTTTCGGGGATAACTGGGGAACGGTTCTCCGAAAACAGTCTTTTGCAGACATGCTTGAAATGGTTTATAATGTGTGTCCAAATACCAGGTGGGTGTTCGTCTATTGTGGTGTGGTGTAACCTGTGCAATTTTAGGTACACAGGCATCTACCAATTCTTACTGCCAACACTCATAATAAAAGACACTGATCTAATTAAACAGATTACAGTGAAAGATTTCGACCACTTTGTAGACCACCCAACTTTGGTACCACCAGACAGCGACCCGCTATGGGGTAACAACCTGTTTGCTTTGACTGGTAAAAAGTGGCGCGAAATGCGAACAACCCTCAGTCCAGCTTTCACCAGCAGCAAAATGAAATACATGTTCACTTTAATATCACAAAGTGGTGAACAATTCGTAAAATATTTCTTGAAGCAAGACCAAGATCTTGTTACTATTGAGATGAAAGATACCTTCACTAGATTCACTAATGACGTCATCGCCAATACCGCTTTTGGAGTGGAATGTGATTCTTTAAGGGACCGAGAAAACGAGTTTTATATGATGGGGAAAGAAGCCACAGATCTTAGTGGCATTTGGAATAATCTCAAAATCTTTGGATACATATTAATACCCAGGTTATTCAAGGTAAATTAATAGTGTTTTCACTACTGGTGTGTAAATTATGTTTTTTGTAGCTTTTTAAGATAAAACTGTTTTCAAAAAAAATCGGCGACTTTTTCACTAACCTCATCAAGAGCAATATCCAAAGCCGCGAAAAACACGGAATTGTAAGACCTGATATGGTCCATCTTCTGCTCGAAGCTCGAAAAAGCGGGCTTAAGCACGAAGAAAACGAACCCCTTCAAGACACAGGTTTTGCCACAGTTGCGGAATCCGAAATCAACAAAAACCCCACAAACGCAAAAACAGAAATTACAGAACAAGATATCACGTCTCAAGCTTTAATTTTCTTCTTCGCTGGTTTCGACACAGTGTCTACACTCATGTGCTTTATGTCTTACGAGCTTGCTGTTAATCCAGACATCCAAAAACGACTTATTGAAGAAGTTGATGAAACTTTGGAAACTTGTAAGGGGAAACTTACTTACGAGGCTCTTCTTGGTATGAAATACATGGATATGGTTGTCTCTGAATCTTTACGAAAATGGCCAAATCCTATTGCCGTGGATAGAGTTTGCACAAAACCCTACACTATCGAACCTAAATACCCTGATGAAAAACCAGTTCACTTGGAAACTAAAGCTGTCATCTGGTTACCAACTTTTGGGATACATCGAGATCCTCAGTACTATCCCGACCCAAAGCGTTTTGATCCTGAAAGGTTTAGTGATGAGAATAGGGCCAACATTAAGCCGTACACGTATTTGCCTTTTGGATCCGGACCTAGAAACTGTATTGGATCCAGATTTGCTCTTTTGGAGACTAAAACGTTATACTTTTATATTTTGTCACATTTCGAGATAGTTCCTGTGGAGAAAACTCAGATACCTTTAGTTATAAGTAAGAAGCAGTTTAATTTGACTGCGGAAAATGGCTTTTGGTTGGGGCTTAAACGTCGCTCCAAAGTCTAATTGCTCGTACATAATAGAAAATAAGTTTCTTGTATGATATTTTATAAAAATAATACTTTATTTATGGTGTGTTTTATAGAATGTCACAAAATGAAAGAATACCAATTGGTTATATCAAACCAAACGAAAGAACGAATACTTATTATTTTCAATACTTAAAAAATTATCCGAAAATTTGTCTCATAATTATCAAAACTAATTTTTTTATCTCGCTCCACTTGTATAAAATGTATCAAAACTTACATCCACTTACATCTAAAGATGTGTCTTGGATACGTGATATGTTATTTCTGATGAAGTGCCGATGAAAGCCAGGAACAGAGACCGAATCATGGCTCGTTTAGACGTTTTTTACACAGCTGCCATGGAAATTTCACGTCCTAGCCGCCTGATTCACCTGGGCTGCGGTTCATTTCCGATAGTGCTCGGCAGGATTGAATTACTACAGCGAGTTTTAATTTTCACCCTGCGCGAACACGTATGACAAATATTCTTGGATAATCTTCTCGGTACCTAATACATACATTCAGAAACAACTACACACCGCTTATATTAATCCCCCAGGATTTAGTTTTCGACTTAAAAGGAGAACGATTTTTCGAAAATTATGTATTGTGGAAATGGTTGGCGTGGTTTATAATGTCTGTCCAAATACCAGATAAGTTCTTTAATTTGATGATCATATACCATTTCTTAACTTTGAGTTGTGGTAGTGTAGGTACTCAGGCTTCTACCTCTGGATTCTTGGTTCTAATTATATGGGGGTTGACCGTAGCCAGCCGGCCCTTAGGCCCCGCCTTTGGGCCCATTGTACCGCCCATATCAGGGTGTGTTTCCGTTCCTCTACTCGTCAAGACACCTAACTGCTTGAATGTGCTTGATTCACGCAGAGGGTGAGAACTCCCTGATTTTTGCCATACTAGACCAGATGTCCCCTTAGGCCCCGCTCACCCACCCTATCTCTAATTTCTTATCTTCTCAAATAAGAAATAAATCTTAGAACAAATAGTACAACAAAAAAGTTACGATTGGCGCTTTTTTTACAGCCGAGTTTCTATCAGTTACTTACTGATTAATTTTATATAAAAAAGTACTACCCCAATTGAAGAGAAGAAGAAGAGAAACTTAAAATATGTTTAAAATAGTAAATTTTTGTAAACAAATATGGATTTTGCAATTAAGCTCCGCCACTCTGTCTGACAACGAATACAAAATTAGCGCAACTAAGACGGGGGAGGGTGGGTGGGGCTTAATTTTTGGGTCCTTTTTCTCAAAATTTATATACCCCATTTTCATCAAACACCATTTGATATTTTAAATATTTTATTGGTGAAAGAAGACTATGTATATTTACTAAGGAAAACGAAGGCTAAACCCCACCCACCCGCCCCATCTCAATTGTGATTAATCCTTTTATTCGTCCTGAGGCGTCCCGTTTTTTGGAAAGAGAGTTTGAGGCGTCTAAACTGGAAAATCGGTTCCACTTTCAAAATTTGGAAAATACTTAAGTATTCTGTGAAGTCCTTTCTTATGTAATTATATTTCAAGGTACATTTTGATCATGAAGATTTCGTCTACGACTTAAGGTTAAAAGAGAACGCTGTAACTAAATATTTTAAAGAGCTCAAGATTTCAAATATAAAGCCAAAGACACAAATAATGAGAAAAATATCAAGATTCAAAAATAGGTATCCACTGATAAACAATTTAGTTATTAACGCAAATCGAGCGTTTAGGAAAGTACTACCAAAATTGATTGCACTAAAAAGAAGACAAAATTTATTGTTTAAAAGAAAAAATTGGCAATTTAAATTTAGAGAATTTAAAAATTAATAACAAAGTTTCCAAAATTTTGGTTGGTTTAGACTATTAAACATTCAAATTTCTGCATTTTTATCTGATGTGTAGTTAATTTATGTTGTATATGTAATATCACAAATGAAATATCACTATCACTATCACTATACACGAAAAAAACAACCCTTGAAAAATAAGGTTTAGATCGAAAAATTTATAGAACGAAAATAACAATTTATCTGTTTTCTCAACAACGGTTTAATAGATCTGCCGAAGATTCTATTAAGACAATAATATTGTGAATAATTAACAATATTAAGCGTATTCACCAGAATGAATAGGGGGTGGGTGGGTGGGCCTAATGCTTGCCTATAAAACACTCTCTCGGAAAAAGTAAGACATAGCCCCGCCCACCCACCCGTTCTCTCATTTTTTTTCTTCCGAAATAAGAAATAAATCGTATAACAAATAGTACAACAAAAAAGTTCAGATTGACGATTTTTTTTACAGCCTAGTTTCTGTCAGTTACTTACCACTCCCACTCTGCAGAAGAACATATAATAAAACCCGCCCACCCATCCGCCTCCATTTCGGTGATTAATTTTATATAAAAAAACTACCCCAATTGGAGAGAAGAAAAAGAAGAAACTTAAAACATGTTTAAAATAGTAAATTTTTGTAGAAAAATATGGATTTTCCAATTAAGCTCCGCCCTTCTGTCTGACAACGAATAAAAAATTCAGCACAACTGAGACAGGGGTGGGTGGGTGGGGCTTAATTTTTGGGCCCTTCTTCTCAAAATTTATATACCTATTTTCATCAAACACCATTTGATATTTTAAATATTTTATTGGTGAAAGAAGACTATGTATATTTACTAAGAAAAACGAAGGCTAAACCCCACCCATCCGCCACATCTCAATTGTGATTAATCTTTTTATTCGTCCTGAGGCAGGGAGCGGAGAGAAGACCATTCCACTTTTTTTTGCAAAGAAAGTTTGAGGCTTCCAAACTGGAAAATCGGTTCCACTTTCAAAACTCGTGAAATACTTATTCTGTAAAGTTCTTTCTTATGGAATTGTAAAATTATATTTTAACGTTCATTTCGATCAAGAAGATTTCGTCAATGACTTAAAATTAAAAAAGAACGCTGTAACTAAATATTTTAAAGCTCAAAATTTCAAATATAAAGCTCCATTTAAAATTATTAATCCCGAAGACAAAATTAAGTAGAAACATATCAAGATCCACTGATAGACAATCGAATGTTTAGGAAAGTACTACCAAAATTGATTGCAGTAAAAAGAAGACAAAATTTATTGTTTGAAAGGAAAATTGGCAGTTTAAATTTAGAGAATTTAAAAATTAATAACAAACTGTCCAAAATTTTGGTTGGTTTAGATTATTAAACATTTTATTTTCTGCATTTTTATCTGATGTGTAGTTAATTTATGTTGTATATGTAATATCACAAATGAAATATCACTATCACTATCACTATACACGAAAAAAACAACCCTTGAAATATAAGGTCTAAATCGAATACTTTATAGAAGGAAAATAACAATTTATCTCTTTTCTCACCAACGGTTTAATAGATTTGCCGAAGATTCTATTAAAACAATAATATTGTCAATAATTAACAGCATTAAGCGTATTCACCAGAATGAAGAGGGGGTGGGTGGGTGGGGCTAATGCTTGCCTATAAAACACTCTCTCGGAAAAAGTAAGACCTAGCCCCGCCCACCCGTTCTCTCATTTTTTTTCTTCTGAAACCCCATCCACCTAAATTTCTGTGATTAATTTTATATAAAAAAGTACTACCTTAATTGAAGAGAAGAAGAACTTAGGTTTTAACTTTTGGTAAATTTTGGTAGAAAAATATGAATTTTGCAATTAAACTCCGCCCCTCTATCTGACAACGAATAAAAAATTGATGACAACTGAGATAGGGGCGGGTGGGTGGCGCTTAATTTTTGGCTTCTTTTTCTCAATATATACAGCTATTTTCATCAAACACAATTTGATACTTTCAGTATTTTATTGTTGAAAAAAGAATACGTATATGTACTTAGAAAATCGAAGACTAAACCCCACTCACCCACCCCATCTCAATTGTGGTTAATTTTTTTATTCGTCCTGAGCCGGGGAGCGGGGAGAAAACCATTACCCTTTTTTTTGGAAAGAAAGTTTGGGGCATCCAAACTGGAAAACCGGTTCCACTTTCAAAATTTGTAAAGTACTTTTTCTGTAAAGTTTTTTCTTATGTATTAGTAAAATTATATTTTAAGGTACATTTTGATCAAGAAGATTTCGTCTACGACTTGAAGTTAAAAGAGAACGCTGTAACCAAATATTTTAATGCTCAAGATTTCAAACATAAAGCTTGATTTAAAATTATCAACCCCGAAGACACAATTAAGTATAAAAATATTAACATTCAAAATTTGGTATCCACCGATAAACAATTTAGTTATTAACGCATATCGAGTGTTTAGGAAAGTACTACCAAAATTTCTTGCAACAGAGAGTAGACAAAATTTATTGTTTAAAAAAAAAATTGGCAGTTTAAATTTAGAGAATTTAAAAATTAATAAGAAATTGTTCAAAACTTTGGTTGGTTTAGACTATTAAACATTCTATTTTTTGTATTTTTATCTGATGTGCCGGTAACCTATGTTGTATATGTAATATCACAAATAAAACATCACTATACACACAAAAAAACCCTTGAAATATAAGGTCTAGATCGAATAATTTATAGAAGGAAAATAACAATTTATCTCTTTTCTCACCAACGGTTTAATAGATTTGCCGAAGATCCTGTTAAGACAATAATATTGTCAATAATTAACAGTATTAAGCGTATTCACCAGAATGAAAAGGGGGTGGGTGGGTGGGCCCATAAAACACTCTCTCGGTAAGTAAAACCTATCCCCGCCTACCCACCCGTTCTCTCATTTTTTTTCTTCTGAAACCCCATCCACCTAAATTTCGGTGATTGATTTTATATAAAAAAAGTACTACCTCAATTGAAGAGAAGAAGAAGAAGAAACTTAAGTTTTACCTTAGTAAATTTTGGTATAAAAATATGAATTTTGCAATTAAACTCGGCCCCTCTATCTGACAACGAATAAAAAATTCATCACAACTGAGATAGGGGCGGGTGGTTTCTTTTTCTCAATATATACCTATTTTCAACAACATGCTCTTGGCGTATATGGGTATATTGCTTTACGAGTTCCTTCTAGAACATTATCGCAAGGAAAAAACTGGTACAGAGAGACCGTAAAATTTATAACAAGAGCAAACAACTAGTCAATACAAATAATACCAAAAATTGTCTTTTACCAAAACCTAAATATTAGGAGTGATAAGATAAGTGACTGGAGGTTAAAGAGTGTAACAACACTCTTTCAAGAAATGAAATAATTGCGTCACAGTTTGACAGCACCAACGTATAGTATAAAACAGACAGCAGGAGGTCATCATCAGTCATTATCATCCAAAACACAAGCCAAGAACTCAACTGATAACACGGGTAAGTGATTCGAATTAGTAAAATTATATCTCATCTCCATTGTTTAAACGAAGTTGCCCTTCGCATTAGCAAATATCAATGATAAGTAATGCTTTTCCAGTAGTTTTAGGTCTGCACGATGTGGTGGATAATGGTCGCTATAGCAGCTCTGGCTGTGGGATACTGGTTACTGATTCGCCCCCACAGGTACTGGTTGGAAAAGGGAGTGAAACAAGGAAATCCAGGATTTATTTTTGGGGATAACTGGGGAACGGTTCTTCGAAAACAGTCTTTCGCCGACATGCTTGAAATGGTTTATAATGTGTGTCCAAATACGAGGTGGGTAATAATAAAAATTGAGTATCTATTATTATTAACCTGTGATATTTTAGATACACAGGCATCTACCAATTTTTTCTACCAACACTCGTATTAAAGGACCCTGATCTAATTAAACAGATGACAGTGAAAGATTTCGACCATTTTGTAGACCACCGAAGTTTTATTCCAGCAGACAGCGACCCACTATGGGGTAAAAACCTGTTTGCTTTGACTGGTAAAAAGTGGCGCGAAATGCGAACAACCCTCAGTCCAGCTTTCACCAGCAGCAAAATGAAATACATGTTCACTTTAATCTCACAAAGTGGTGAACAATTCGTACAATATTTCTTGAAGCAAGACCAAGATCTCATTACTGTTGAAATGAAAGATACCTTCACTAGATTCACTAACGACGTCATCGCCAATACCGCTTTTGGAGTGGAATGTGATTCTTTACGGGACCGAGAAAACGAGTTTTATATAATGGGGAAAGAAGCCACAGATTTTAGTGGCATTTGGAAGAATCTCAAGTTCTTTGGATACATATTAATACCCAAATTAGTCAAGGTACATTAATTGTGTTTTCACTACTTTTGTGTTAACTTACGTTTTTTGTAGTTCTTTAAGTTAAAACTGTTTTCAAAAGAAGTCGCTTACTTTTTCACTAACCTAATCAAGAGTAATATTCAAAGCCGCGAGAAACATGGAATTGTAAGACCTGATATGGTCCATCTTCTACTCGAAGCTCGAAAAAACGGGCTTAAACACGAAGAAAGCGAACCCGTTCAAGACACAGGTTTTGCAACAGTCGCTGAATCCGAAATCAACAAAAACCCCACAAACACAAAAACAGAAATTACAGATCAAGATATCACGTCTCAAGCTTTAATTTTCTTCTTCGCTGGTTTCGACACTGTGTCTACTCTCATGTGCTTTATGTGTCACGAACTTGCTGTTAATCCAGACATCCAAAAACGACTTATTCAAGAAGTAGATGATACTTTGGAAGCTTGTAAAGGGACTCTTACTTACGAGGCTCTTCTTGGTATGAAATACATGGACATGGTAGTCTCTGAATCCTTAAGAAAATGGCCGAATCCCGTTGCTGTGGATAGAGTTTGCACAAAACCCTACACCATCGAGCCTAAATACCCTGATGAGAAACCCGTTCACTTAGAAACCAATGCGGTTGTTTGGTTACCAATTTTTGGAATACATCGAGATCCTCAGTACTATCCCGAACCAAAACGTTTTGATCCTGAAAGGTTTAGTGATGAGAACAGGGCCAACATTAAACCGTATACATATTTGCCTTTTGGTTCTGGACCTAGAAACTGTATTGGTTCCAGATTTGCTCTTTTGGAGACTAAAACGTTGTTCTTTTATATTTTGTCACATTTCGAGATAGTTCCTGTGGAGAAAACTCAGATACCTTTAGTTTTAAGCAAGAAGCAGATTAATTTGACTGCGGAAAATGGGTTTTGGTTAGGGCTTAAACGTCGCTCTAGAGTCTAATTGTTTTGTATGATATTTTAATAAAATTAAATCTTTATTTATGGTGTTTTTTGATCCAGGTTGTCAAGAATCTAAAGACAAAATTATAACAGATAAAGACACATTAACTCGTAGATCACGTTTACTAAAGGTCATCTAGGGTATACCATTTTCATCGAAGATTGATAGTAAGCAACAGACATTAAGAGGTCATCGTCAGTTATTATCATCGAAAACATTCTGCAGTTCTGAAAATTGTATTTATAAGAGACTGCCTACCAGTAATAATATAAATCTGTACGATGTGGTGGGTTGCAATCGCCATAGCAGCAGCCCTTGGTGTGAGATACTGGTTGTCGGTTCGCCCCCATTCGCACTGGGTGGAAAAGGGAGTGGAACAAGGACCTCCAAGATTTAGTGTCTGGCTTAACTGGCAAACGATTATTCGAAAACTAGCGATTGCAGAAATGGTTGAAGTGGTTTATAATATTTGTCCAAAGACCAGGTAAGTTCTTTAATTGCATTTCTTAACTGTGATCTACGCTACTCCAGATACTCAGGCTTCTACCTGTTTTTACAACCAATACTCGTACTAAAGGACCTCGACCTCATCAAACAGATTTACGTTAAAGACTTCGACCACTTTCTAGACCGTCGGACTTTGATTCCAGAAGACAATGACCCCCTTTGGGATAAAAACCTCTTCGCCTTAACTGGCGAAAAATGGCGCGAAATGCGAGCAACACTCAGTCCTGCTTTCACCCGTACCAAAATGAAGTACATGTTTACACTAATCTGGCAAAACGGTGAACAGTTCACAGAATACTTCTTGAACCAAAAAAGAAAGCTCGTTACAGTTGAAATGAAAGATATTTTAACCAGATTAACTAGCGATGTCATCGCTAACACTGTTTTTGGAGTAGAATGCGATTCTTTGAAAGACAGGAAAAACGAATTTTATTTGATGGCAAAAGAAGCTACAGATTTTGGTAGTTTTCGGAAGAAATTCATACTTGCTGGATATCTCTTAATACCTAAATTATTTAAAGTAAGTCCATCGTTGGTGTCTTTATTTTTGACTTAACTGATTTTTTTTTAGATTTTCAAAATAACAATGTTTTCAAAATCATTCGGAAAATTTTTCACTAATCTAGTAACGACTAACATTCGCAGTCGTGAAAAACTTGGAATAGTAAGACCAGACGTTATCCAAGTTCTCCTCGAAGCTCGAGCATTCCTTCAAGACGCAAAACCTGAAATTAACAAAAACAACAAAACAGAAATTACAGATCAAGACATCGTTTCGCAAGCTTTGGTTTTCTTGTTCGCTGGTTTTGAAACTGTGTCTACACTCATGTGCTTTATGTCTTACGAGCTTGCGCTTAACCCAGATATCCAAACAAAACTTATACAAGAAGTAGACGAAACTGTGGAAGCCTGTAAGGGCAAAGTTACCTACGAGAGTCTTCTTGGTATGAAATATATGGACATGGTTGTCTCAGAAACTTTACGAAAATGGCCGAATCTTGTTGCTTTGGATAGAGTTTGTACAAAACCCTACACTATTGAGGCTAAATATCCTGATGAGAGACCTATTCACTTGGAAAAGGGTGCTGTTGTCTGGTTGCCAGTGTTTGGTCTTCATCGCGACCCCGAATTTTTTCCAGAACCGGATCGTTTTGACCCTGAAAGATTTAGCGATGAAAACAAGGCCAAGATTAAACCGTACACGTATGTGCCTTTTGGAGCTGGACCTAGGAATTGTATTGGTTACAGATTTGCTCTCTTGGAGACTAAAATTTTGTTCTTTAATATTCTGTTACGTTTCGAGATAGTTCCCGTGGAGAAGACACAGATACCTTTAGTTTTAAGCAAGAAGCATTTTAGTTTGATAGCGGAAAAGGGATTTTGGTTGGGTCTAAAACGTCGTAGAGAATAATATTTGTTCAGTCTAATTTAACTGGAATAAACAACACTATGTATACGATGTATTATTAATCCATAACCCAGACACAAAATGATTATCAATGATAAGATAAGAGTAGCAGATAACAACAAAACTCCCAGAAATCAAACTAGTTGCTTCAAATTGTTGAGAAAAGCATATGACACTATAAAATTGGTAATACCAGTAAACAAATCTAATTATAAAGAGTGGACCCCCACCCAAATATTTATACGCAGTTGTCCTTCAGCTCGTCAAACCTGTTTATCCAGTGTTATTAGGTTTGCACGATGTGGTGGATATTGGCCACTGTAGCAGCCGTTGCTGTGGGGTACTGGTTGCTGACCCGACCCTACAGGTACTGGTTGGAAAAGGGAGTAAAGCAAGGGACTCCAAGCTTAATTTTTGGAGATATCGGGGCAACGATTTTTCGAAAACTGTCTTTTCCGGACGTGATGGTGATGCTTTATAACGCGTGTCCAAATACAAGGTGGGTAAAATTTTAGTCTAATCGTGTCGACTAGGTAAACACTGTCACATTTTAGGTACTCAGGCGTCTACCAATTTTTTCTACCAACGCTTCTAGTCAAAGACCCCGACCTCATCAAACAGATCACAGTCAAAGATTTCGATCACTTTGTAGATCACCGGAGTTTCATTCCAGAAGACATCGATCCACTATGGGACAAAAACCTGCTGATTTTGAGGGGTAAAAAATGGCGTGAAATGCGAACAACCCTCAGTCCAGCTTTCACCAGTAGCAAAATGAAATACATGTTCACTTTAATCTCCCAAAGTGGTGAACAATTCGTAAACTACTTTTTGAAAAAAGACGAGAATCTCATTACAATTGAAATGAAAGACACTTTCACTAGATTCACTAATGACGTTATCGCCAACACTGCTTTTGGAGCAGAATGTGATTCTTTGAGAGACAGAGAAAACGAGTTTTACTTGATGGGAAAAGAGGCAACAGATGTGGGTGGCATTTGGAGAATGCTCAAATTAATTGGATATCTTGTGATACCTAGAGTATACAAGGTAAGTTCACTATTGTGTTCACAACTCTTGGCCCAACTTCTATTACTTTTTAGTTTTTTAAAATACCGCTATTTTCACGAAGCGTCACCGACTTTTTCACTAATCTAGTCAAGAGCAACATTCAAAGTCGCGAAAAACACGGGATCGTACGACCTGATATGATCCACCTTCTTCTCCAAGCTCGAAAAAACGAGCTGAAACACGACGAAAGCGAACCCCTTCAAGACACAGGTTTTGCCACTGTGGCAGAATCCGAGACCAACAAAGACGTTCAAAACACCAAAAGAGAGATCACAGATGAAGATATCATCTCTCAAGCTCTACTTTTCTTTTTCGCTGGATTTGAAACCGTGTCTCTTCTCATGTGCTTCATGTCTTACGAACTTGCCGTGAACCCAGACGTCCAAAAACGACTTATAGAAGAAGTGGACGAAACTTTGGAAGCTTGTAAAGGTAAACTTACCTATGAAGCTCTTCTTGGTATGAAATATCTGGATATGGTTGTCTGCGAAACTCTAAGAAAGTGGCCTAATGCTGTAGCGCTGGACCGAATTTGTACAAAACCGTATACTATTGAACCTAAGTATCCCGACGAGAAGCCCGTACACTTGGAAAATAACGCTGTGGTTTGGTTTCCCGTTTTTGCTATTCATAGAGATCCTCAATATTATCCAGAACCCGAGCGGTTTGATCCAGAAAGGTTCAACGATGAGAACAAGGTCAATATTAAACCGTGCACCTATTTGCCTTTTGGATCGGGACCTAGGAACTGTATTGGTTCCAGATTTGCTCTATTGGAGACCAAAGCCTTATTCTTTTATGTTTTATCACATTTTGAGGTAGTTCCTGTGGAAAAGACTGAGATACCTTTAGTTTTAACCAAGAAACAGTTTAATTTGACTGCGGAAAATGGGTTCTGGTTGGGGCTTAAACGTCGTGTTCACTTAAGTAGAAAATAAAACATTACTTAACTTTACGGTGTATTATTAATCCTAAATATTTACCGATTAATAGTGATAAGATAAGAGATCGGCAAACGACAACATATGGCAGTATAAAAGAAACAGTGAAACTTTATCATACTGGTAAGCAAATCTAATTATACAGAGTGGGCAGGCCCCCACTAAATGTTTAGACGCACTTGGCCTTCAGTTCGGTAAACAATGTTCATCACTCGTGGTTTTCCAGTATTATTAGGTCTGCACGATGTGGTGGATAATAGCGGTCGTAGCAACCGTTGTTTTGGGGTACCGGCTACTGATTCGCCCCCACAGACACTGGTTGGAAAAGGGGGTTAAGCAGGGAGCGCCCAGATTTATTTTTGGAGATTTCGTGGGAATGGTTTTGCAAAAACAATCCCTTGGGGAAATGGTCAAAACGGTTTATGATAGGTGTCCAAATACCAGGTGGGTAAAATTTTGCAATCGCCAAAAAAATCGTAGTTAAAATAAATCCGTTAGGTACTCAGGCTTCTACCAACTTTTTACACCAATTTTTGTCTTAAAAGACCCCGATCTGATAAAACAAGTCGCCGTCAAAGATTTTGACCACTTTCAAGACCACCGGACTTTTATTCCAGAAGGTAGTGACCCATTATGGGCTAACAATCTGGTTGCTTTGACTGGTAAAAAGTGGCGCGACATGCGAACAACCCTCAGTCCGGCTTTCACCAGTAGTAAAATAAAGTACATGTTTACTTTAATATCACAAAGTGGTGAACAATTCGTACAATATTTTTTGAAAAAAGAGGAAAGTCTTATCACTATTGAAATGAAAGATAGTTTCACTAGGTTCACGAATGATGTCATTGCCAACACTGCTTTTGGAGTAGAATGTGATTCTTTAGAAGACTCGAACAACGAATTTTATACCATGGGAAAGAAAGCTACAGATTTGAGTATCTGGAGGTTCATTGGGTACAGTTTAATGCCTGGACTCTTCAAGGTAAATTTACTACTTTGACTCCTTATTTGTCAAGTCATACGTGTGTCTTAGCTTTTGAAGGTAACACTATTTTCAAAAGAAGTCAGCGACTTTTTCAGTAATCTGGTCGAAACCAACATCCACAGTCGCCAAAAACACGGAATTGTAAGACCTGACATGATCCACCTTCTCGTCGAAGCTCGAAAAAACGGGTTCAAAGACGAAGAAACCGAACCTATTCAAGACACAGGTTTTGCAACTGCTGCAGACCATGATGTCAACAAAACCCCCAAAAACACCAAAATAAAAATCACCGATCAAGACATAGCTTCTCAGGCTTTAAGTTTTTTCTTTGCCGGTTTTGACTCAGTGTCTGCACTCATGTGCTTTATGTCTTACGAACTGGCTCTTAACCCGGACGTCCAAACGAGACTTATACAAGAAGTAGACGAGACTCTGGAAGCTTGTAAGGGTAAACTTACCTACGAGAATCTTCTTGGTATGAAGTATATGGATATGGTGGTCTCTGAAACTCTAAGAAAGTGGCCCAGTTCAGTTGGTGTGGATAGGGTTTGCACAAAACCTTACACCATCGAGGCTAAATGCCCTGAAGAGAAACCTGTTCACTTGGAAAAAAATGATGTTGTATGGTTACCCATTTTTGGGCTTCATAGAGACCCGCAGTATTATCCAGAACCGGAACGGTTTGATCCCGAAAGGTTTAACGATGGAAACAAGGTCAACATTAAACCGTACACGTATTTGCCTTTTGGACATGGACCTAGGAATTGTATTGGTTCCAGATTGGCTCTCTTAGAAGCCAAAACGTTATTCTTTTGTGTTTTGTCACATTTCGAGATAGTTCCTGTCGAGAAGACACAAATTCCTTTAGTTTTAAGCAAGAAACATATAATTTTGTCGGCGGAAAATGGCTTTTGGTTGGGGCTTAAACGACGCTCACATAAAAGTAGAAAATAAAAATATTATTGTCGACAGAAAAATTATCGTATTTGTTTTCTCCTACCGCTAATCAGTAGCCAAACAAATTGCGTCACCCGTCTGGGAAGAGCTTAAGATAGCGCGTCAAAATAAAATATTATTCTCGTACTCAATTGCTTAAATGAAGACGTCCTTCAACTTGACAAATCTTTACGAGTGATTCTATTTTAGTGTCGTTAGGTCTGCACGATGTGGTGGATATTAGTCGCTGCAGCAGCCGTTGCCTTTGGCTACTGGTCCTTGACCCGCCCGCGCAACTATTGGGCGAAAAAAGGGGTAAAACAAGGACCTCCGTCATTCATTTTGAGGGATATTTTGGAAATGGTTTTGAGAAAACGTAGTTTTGCGGAAATGGTTCAAATAGTTTATAATATGTGTCCAAACACCAGGTGGGTAAAATTGTGCAAATTTTTTTATAGGCTAACGTGTGGTACTTTAGGTACTCAGGGTTCTACCAATTTTTTGTTCCAACACTTGTACTAAAGGACCCTGAGCTTATCAAACAAATCACCGTGAAAGACTTCGACCACTTTGTAGACCGTCGGAATTTTATCCCAGAAGACAGTGACCCATTATGGTCTAAAAATTTAGTCGCTTTGACTGGTAGAAAATGGCGCGAAATGCGAGCAACCCTCAGTCCATCTTTCACCAGCAGCAAAATGAAATACATGTTCACGTTAATGTCACAAAATGGTGAACAATTCGTGAAGTACTTTTTGAAAAAAAACGAAAACGTTGTTACTGTGGAAATGAAAGACACTTTCACTAGATTCACTAATGATGTCATCGCCAGTACTGCTTTTGGAGTGGAATGTGATTCTTTAGGGGACAGAACAAACGAGTTTTACTTGATGGGCAAAGATGCTACTGATTTTAGTGGGTTCTGGAAAAATATTTCGTTCTTGGTCTACATGTTAGCACCTAAACTAGGAAAAGTAAGTTCATTGTTGTGACTACATTTAAGTTAATTTGTGTTTGTTTAGTTTTTCCAAATAACCTTCTTTTCAAAACGAGTTGCCCATTTTTTCACTAATCTAATCAAAAGCAACATCCGAAGTCGTGAAAAACTTGGGATAGTAAGACCAGATATGATCCATCTTCTCCTGGAAGCTAGAAAAAACGGGCTTAAACATGAAGAAACTGAACCCCAAGATACAGGTTTTGCCACAGTGGCAGAATCCGAAATCACCAAAAACCCCAAAAACACCAAAACAGAAATTACAGATCTAGATATTACGTCGCAAGCTTTAATTTTCTTCTTCGCTGGTTTTGACTCAGTGTCCGGACTCATGTGCTTTATGTCCCACGAAATAGCAGTTAATCCAGACGTTCAAACTAGACTTATCGAAGAGGTGGACGAAACTTTGGTAGCTTGTAAGGGTAAACTCACTTACGAGGGTCTTCTTGGTATGAAATACATGGATATGGTTGTCTCGGAAACTTTAAGAAAGTGGCCCAGTTCTGGCGCCATGGACAGAATTTGCACAAAACCCTATACCATCGAGCCTAAATTTCCCGATGAAAAACCGGTCCATTTGGAAAAGAATGATGTTGTTTGGTTGCCCATTTTTGGGCTGCATCGAGATCCTCAGTACTATCCAGAGCCAGAGAGGTTTAATCCCGAAAGGTTTAACGATGAAAATAAGGGCAACATTAACCCTTACGCATACGTGCCTTTTGGATCTGGACCTAGGAATTGTATTGGTTCCAGATTTGCCCTCTTGGAAACTAAAACCTTGTTCTTTTATATTTTGTCATATTTCGAGATAGTTCCTGTGGAGAAGACCCAGATACCTTTGGTTATAAGCAAAAAGCACTTTAATTTGACTGCGGAAAAGGGGTTTTGGTTGGGGCTTAAACGTCGTTCTAGAATATGAGTTTGGCACATTTAATTTAACACATTTTAACATAAATAAATAAAGATTATACACTATAAAACCGCAACCGGATTCAGTCGTTATCATTAACACCAACCAATAACAAATTTCGTAACACCGAGACAAAAATAATTAGGCTTCGTCTGAATTGTTCAATTGAAGACGTCCTTCAACTTTGCAACTATTTACCAGTGATTACAGTACATTTCTGTGACATTAGGTGTGTACGATGTGGTGGCTACTGGCCGCTCTAGCAACCAGTACTTTAGGTTACTGGTTGCTAGTGCGCCCCTACAAATATTGGGTAAAAAAGGGGGTGCAGCAAGGAAATCCAAAATTAATTTTCGGGGTTTTTTGGGGAGTGCTTCTGAGAAAACAGTCTTTTGCAGAAATGGTTGAAATGGTTTACAACATGTGTCCAAATACCAGGTGGGTAAAAATTTTATTACCTATATATATTTCGAAAAACTGTTCACCATGATATATCAGGTACACAGGCTTCTACCAGTTTTTTCTGCCAACCCTTCTACTAAGAGACCCTGATCTCATCAAACAAATCACCGTGAAGGACTTCGACCACTTTGTAGACCACCGAACTTTTTTTCCAGAAGACAGCGACCCTCTTTGGGTTAAAAATCTTTCCGCTTTAACTGGAAACAAGTGGCGCGAAATGCGAACAAAACTCAGTCCAGCTTTTACCAGCAGTAAAATGAAATCCATGTTCTCTTTAATCTCGCAAAATGGTGAACGATTCGTAAAGTACTTTTTGGACAAAGACTCAAAACTCATTACTCTTGAAATGAAAAATATCTTCACTAGATTCACTAATGATGTAATCGCCAACACTGCTTTTGGAGTGGAATGTGATTCTTTGAGTGACAGGAAGAACGAGTTTTATATGATGGGGAAAGCAGCCACAGATTTTAGTGGCTTTTGGATGAATGTCAAGTTATTTGTATGCATATTAGTGCCTAAATTACTTCAAGTAATTTTCGTATTTTATTCATTACTTTTTAGTTAGTTTTTTTTTCAGCTGTTTAAGATAACACTATTTTCCAGAGAAGTGGGCGACTTTTTCACTAATCTAGTGACGAGTAATATTCAAACTCGCGAAAAACATGGAATAGTCAGACCTGACATGATCCATCTTCTTCTAGAAGCTCGAAAAAACGGGCTCAAACATGAAGACACGGAAACCGTTCAAGACACAGGTTTTGCTACAGTTGCAGAATCTGAAATCACCAAAAACCCCAAAATCAAGAAGACGGAAATTACAGATCAAGACATCATTTCACAAGCTTTAATTTTCTTCTTCGCGGGTTTTGACACAGTGTCAACACTTATGTCTTTCATGTCTTACGAACTTGCTGTTAATCCAGCCATTCAAAACAGACTTATTGACGAAGTTGACGAAACTCTGGAAACTTGTAAGGGTAAACTTACCTACGAGGCTTTACTTGGTATGAAATATATGGACATGGTTGTCTCTGAAACTTTAAGAAAGTGGCCCAATTCTATCGCTGTTGATAGAATTTGCACCAAACCGTACACCATAGAATCTAAATATCCCAATGAGAAACCCATTCACTTGGAAAAAAATGACGTTGTGTGGTTACCAATTTTTGGTCTTCATCGAGATCCTCAATACTACCCAGAACCAGAACGGTTTGATCCTGAAAGGTTTAACGATGACAACAAGGTTAACATAAACCCATACACGTTTTTACCTTTTGGGTCTGGACCTAGAAACTGTATTGGTTCCAGATTTGCTCTCTTGGAAACTAAAATATTATTCTTTTATATGTTGTCACATTTCGGGATAGTTCCTGTGGAAAAGACTCAGATGCCTTTAGTGTTAAGCAAGAAACAATTTAGTTTGACTGCGGAAAAAGGATTTTGGTTAGGACTTAAACGCCGGGATATACTTTAAGTCTTCATATGTTATAAAATTTTATTTAAGATATTTTAATAGGAACAATAGAGGTTAAAGATAGTTTCAATTCCGCCGCGTAGGTACCAGACATCATCATAAAATGCAACACAAGAACGAAATTGGATAACAGTGATGTGGTAATTGAATTCATTTAGAGAAATTAGGTCCCCTCTAAATATTGAAATGAAGATGTCCTTCAACTTGGCCAACGCCAGTTAGTGTTATTAGCTCTGCACGATGTGGTGGATTGTGGCTGCTGTAGCAGCCGTTTCTCTATGGTACTGGTTGTTTATCCGCCCCCACAAATACTGGCTGGAAAGGGGAGTGAAACCAGTAACTTCTGGATTTCTCATGGGGGATACTTTAAGAGCGTTTTTGCGACAGCAGTCTCTTGCAGACATGGTTGAGATGGTTTATAAAACTAGTCCGAATACCAGGTGGGTAAAAATTTTGGCCTCGCTTTAATTGACCGACTATAATCTGTTGGTAATTTAGGTACGCAGGCAGCTACCAGTTTTTTCAACCAATTCTTCTAATCAAGGACCCAGACCTCATCAAGCAAATCACCGTTAAAGACTTCGACCACTTTCTCGACCACCGGAACGTTTTTCCAGAAGACAGCGAGCCAATATTTTCGAAAAATCTTTTCGCATTATCGGGTAAAAAGTGGCGCGACATGCGATCAACACTAAGTCCGGCTTTCACCAGCAGCAAAATGAAGTACATGTTCACTTTAATCTCACAAAGTGGCGAACAATTCGTAAATTATTTTTTGAAAAAAGACGAAAATTTTATTACAGTTGAAATGAAGGGCACTCTTACTAGATTCACTAACGACGTCATCGCCAACACTGCTTTTGGAGTGGAATGCGACTCTTTGAGCGACAGGAACAACGAGTTTTATTTAATGGGAAAAGAAGCCATAAATTTCACCGGTTTTTGGAAAAATTTGAGGTTCTTTGGACTAATCTTAATGCCTAAAATCGCTAAGGTATCAATTTAGGTTGGTAGTAGAGAATATTATTGAGTTGATTTAGTTATACATTTCAGTTTTTTAAACTCACTATATTTTCAAAAGACGTTAGCGACTTTTTCACCAATCTAGTCACAAGTAATATTCAAAGTCGCGAAAAGCATGGAATTGTGAGACCGGATATGATCCATCTTCTCCTCGAAGCTCGAAAAAACGGTCTCAAACACGACGAAAAGCAGCTTGTTCAAGACGCAGGTTTTGCAGCAGTTGAGGAATCAGAAATCCACAAGGACCCTAAAAACACGAAATTAAAAATCACAGACCAAGACATCACCGCACAAGCTTTGGTGTTTTTCTTTGCTGGGTTTGACTCAGTAGCTGCACTCATGTGTTTCATGGCTCACGAACTTGCTGTTAATCCCGACGTCCAGAAAAAGCTTCTCCTGGAAGTAGATGAAACTCTGGACTTTTGTAAGGGTAAAATCACTTATGAGGCGCTTCTTGGTATGAAATACATGGACATGGTTGTGTCTGAAACTTTAAGAAAGTGGCCTAATGCTGTTGTTTCGGATAGAGTTTGCACAAAAGCATACACCATAGAGCCTAAATTTCCAGACGAGGAACCTGTTCATTTGGACATAAATGATGCGGTATCGTTTCCCGTTTATGGTATTCACAGAGATCCTCACTACTATCCAGAACCAGAGCGTTTTGATCCTGAAAGGTTTAACGATGAAAACAAGGTCAATATTAATCCCTACACGTATATGCCTTTTGGGGCCGGACCTAGGAATTGTATTGGTTCTAGGTTTGCTTTACTGGAGACAAAAACGTTATTTTTTTATATTTTGTCACATTTTGAATTAGTTCCTGTGGAGAAGACGCAGATACCTTTAGTTTTAAGTAAGACGCAGCTGAATTTGAGCTCGGAAAATGGGTTCTGGTTAGGACTTAGAAAACGCTGTAAAATTTAAAAATTTACCGTTGTTATATAAAATCAAAAATGAAAATGTTCCTTCACAAATGGGAAATATTTTACCAATTATGTAAGAACCTAATTTTTAATAAAAATTACCTCTCTATTTGCATGATTCCATCTATAAACTACACCACTCTGGATATAGTGAAGTTGGGAAAGGAAATATTTCTGAAAGGCGTAATATTTAAAATATGAAACTTGGGGTAGTTAATTTGGCTCTAAATTTGATAGAAGAATCTGTTAATAATATTGGCAAAAACGAACTATCAGCTAAGATAAAACTGATTTGGGTCAATAACATTCCTTCTAAGAAAAGGAAGGGCGGGTGGGCGGGGCTAGTTCTTGTTAAGATAAGACTAATTTTAGCAAATCACATAGTTTCCAAGAAAATAGAGGGCGGGTGGGCGGGGCTAATATTTGATAAGATAAGACTGATTTTGGCAAATGACATAGCCCCTAAGAAAAGAGAGGGTGGGTGGGTGGGGCTACTACCTGTTGAGATAAAACTAATTTTGGCAAATGACATACCCTCCAAGAAAAGAGACGGTATGTCATTTGCAAAATCAGTTTTATCTGAACAGGTACTAGCCCCGCCCACCCACCCATTCTCTCTTTTCGTCAGTTTACAGGAGGGCATCCTTTTTATTTTTGCAGAAAAAATCGAATAAATTAAACCATGATATATAAGTTCTTCAAATATCGTTTTAACGACTTTGAGATGTATTTTTTTTGTGAAGTGCTTTTTGTATTTCTCTGAATAATAAAACTGGGATTTGGTTTATATTTGTGGTACTCTCTTACTATTATAGAACTTAAAGGGTATGATTTATCTCTATGGGGCCTGAATAAGCTATCAAATCTTTACAAGTACATATCAGGTCAGGTCAGGTCAAGTTCTAAGCCATCATCAATACGTCACCTTGGCGATACGCTCACATCGGATAGAGAGAGAGAGAGAGAGAGCTGCTACCATCGGAAGAAAATGGAATGCCAACAAAGTGGGAGGAAAGGCAAAACGAACATTCACTGATAGAGCTCTTCACAGAAGCCTGTAACGTCTCCATGCCGTGCAACCAAAGAAACCCCAAGCACAAATCTGTCTATTGGTGGAAGCTACATGCAAAAAGAAGCTGCATCCGAAAAGGCAGCAGAAGCGGAAACGCAACTATCTATAGAACGGAAAAACTGAAATGAACAATAGAAACATCAAAGAAAAAAAATGGAAAAGACCGTGCGCAGAAATAAACGAAAACGTCTGGGGCGAGGGATACAGAGTCGCTACAAAAAAACTTAGAACCAAGGAACATCCTCTGGCAATAACTATAGAAAAACGCTTCGAAATAGTAGATACACTATTCCCAAAACACCCGGTAGAAAGGCATAAATGAAGCGAAGAAAAATCTAGAAATAGCTGCTAGGTATCTTAAAAAGAGGCGAATAGCTGTGCCGGACGAAATTCCTGCTGAAGTATTGAACCTCTAGTTTCAGAATCACCAGGGATCCTACTGAATGTGTTCAATTCGGCATTGGAAAAAGTCTTTGCTTCCATATGGAAACGAGCCACTTTAATTCTCCTAAAGAAGGGAAACAAACCAAGTAATCAATCTAGATCGTTCAGACCGATAACAATAAACAGTGAAATTCCACACGGGTCTGTCTTGGGGCCGACCCTGTAGAATATCCAGTATGACAGCATGCTACATCTTCAAATGCCAGAAGGAGCCGAGGTAATTGCGTTTACCGATGAGAGCATACAAGAAAAAACGAGCATAGTGGCAGAAACCACAGAATTCCACCTAAAAAAGGAAAACTAACACTAGCCCGGGAAAAAACAGAGGCTGTGATCTTAGTAGGCCCGAGAAAGTCTCCGAGTCTGGAAAAAAATCAAATAGATCCTTCACAAAACATGTGGAAGAAATAACAACCAAGGCTAGGAAAACAACCATGGCATTATTTAGGAGCATGCCCAACATCGCAGACCCAAACCAATAAAGCAAATCGCAAGTCCTGTGCGCTTCGTCGGAATGGGGGAAGGATCTTAACACAAAGAGAGATGCGGAAAAGGTGTCCGTAATGGACAGGTTGTTGACCCTGAGAGTTATCAGGGCCTACAGAATGGTATCAGAATCGGCTACGATGCCAACCTTGTGCTTGTAAGTGAAAGAAAGAGCCATGGTAAAAAAAGGCATGAACAAAGAGAGATCCATTCTCTACCAAGAGTAGCAGGCCGTGTGGGAAAGTGGCAGATGGACCCATAGACTGATACCAGATATAAGAACATCGACTAAAAGAAACCACGGGGAGGTGGGCTACCATTTGACATAAAGCCTAACAGGGCAGGGTGCTTTCAAGCATCCCTACATAGCCGGAAAAAAGTTGACTCAGCTAACTGTATATACTGCGGAGCAGTACAAGAGACAGCGGAACGTACGCTGTTTCCCTCTAAAAATCATGAAAAGAAAAGAAGAAGACGAAAAAACAAGACAGGCTCAAACTGCATAAGGGAAGTAAAAATAGAGAAAAGGCAGAGGATAGAAAACACAACGATGTCAGGCGGCCGCCGAAAGTAATGCCTAGAGGCAGTTCCCGGTCGGCTTCACAAATCAGGGAGGAGTTTTAGCCAGTAGGAGTCCGGCACTACCCGGAGCATCAGATCCAGTTCCCGGTGCCCATGAAGGGTTTACCCTCCACCACAAAAAAAAGATCTGGTCAGGTCAGGTCAGGTCAGGAAAAGTTTAATGGTGGTGGGAAGGCATCAAAAGCACAGGAAAAGAGGAGAAGAAGAAGAGAAGAAGCATGAAATGGTTGGCCACAAGACATTACGAAGAATAGAAGAAAGAAAAAAGAGTGCGTCGACCCAGGGACACACGGATGGAGTTTTAACTCTGCGTTGTTAATTTATATAAATTTAAAGATGTTTACGAAGTCATTAATTTTCTCTTACAAAATAATAAAAACCAAAAATATGATGGGTTTACATTTTTTAACAAAATGATGAAATAATTAATGATGATGATTGGGTTAATTAAAGTAAATATCCATGTATTGTCAATTGTTGTTTATTATAATAATATTGTATGAAAACAATTAAAGTATAATGTGTAATTTACCTACTAAAGTAACGAGTAAATATTTACAAATGCTATACACCTGATATAAGAATAATTCGTCAAGCAACTTCTGCACCAAGACAGAGTTCCGGGAGTTATCTGTGCATCACTTCTGCAGCCTCAGGGTCGTTGTGGTCTAGATACTCGACACCGACACCGACACCGACACCAAGCTCGTAGCTGGAACTCGACATCCTATTCCGGTGCGTATACGAGTTCTAGAATACGACATTCTTGTTGATGCAAAAAATCAAACCTAAAAAATCTTCCTAAAGAAACTAAAAGTTTCTTATGAACAAAACTAGTAACAAGTCCTTAACTTTCGAATAAAATAAAGAATTAAGAAGTTATAGTAGAGTACCAGTAGATATTAAAACCAGAATGAAAAGATGAAAACAGGATATTTCGAAGAACTACTCACAGAAGAGGAAACTAAACAAGATGAGGAACATCAAACATCAATTACACCAAGAGGCGAACTAGAAGCACTAGAAATCAAGAAAAATGAAGTAGAGGATTGATTTAATCAATAAAATAAATAAAATATCTCTCACAACAACCATGCACATCGAAATATTAACGAAAATAGTGGATTTATTAACGTATTTCTATTCTAAAGAAACATAAACTGAAAATAGGAAGCCTAATTTTAAGGATGCAAGAAATTCAGGTTTGTGAGGGCAACATTATCTATTTAAAGGTAGTATTCATGAAATAGAAAAACTGAATCATGTCCTAAGTGACCAAATATGAAATTCCACGACTGGCATCTACATGTTTTTTTCGGATTTAAATACGGCGCTTGTCATATTTAAACCCGCACCTGGGGTTGGCGAGTCGAATGAAAGTAATGAAATAAAGGTCACCGAGTCGGACATTTAGAACGACATCGATTTTAAACGATTATTCAAATAAACACACAATTTAACAGCGGTCACAGTGACTAACGTACCGATACATTTAATCATTACAAAGGTAAATATTAAATAACAACATAAAAGGTAGATTTGACATCAAAATATAATGCAGAAAATTCCAGCATCAACACCTCGTTGTTCAATATGAACAAATTAGTAAGTATTTTAGAAGTATCCACTTGGACATCAAACGTGACAAAATTTAAGTTTACGTAACTCTAGCCAAAATTACATTTTTTAATTCGTGAGAATACTTATGTTCATTTTCGTTGATACAAACATATGTGTAACCTTGGAAACATGGTGCAATATTGCGAGCAAGGACAAAACGAACTGCTTCTTCCTCCAAAACATTGTCAAAATGTGAATTAACGCAGTTGTTTATGTGAAATCACCAGTTAGTCGACAGGAATTAGATATTTTTCATTTTCCCAATCGATTATCCACTCTTGCGTCATCATTACATCTGATTGCAAGATAAATAAGTATAAGCTAGAATGACACCGACACTCAGTTGTAAAAAGCTTATTGATATGAACATACCCTTCAACTAGAGAATTATCAGCTACCACACTTTGTTTATTTGGTGCCCTTAAGTGTACGCGATGTGGTGGATCCTGGCTCCTGTAGCAGCCGCTGCTCTGTGGTACTGGTTGTTCATCCGCCCCCAAAAGTACTGGCTGGAAAGAGGGATGAAGCCGCCAACTGTAGCATTTCTTTGGGGGGAGACTGTGGGAGCGTTTTCGCAAAAAGGGTCTTATGCAGATATGGTCGAGAAGGTCTACAAAACTTGTCCAAACCCCAGGTTTTTTTAACGCATTTATTTAATAAAACACTAACTATTTGTACTTTAGGTACGCAGGCAACTACCAGCTTTTTATACCAACTCTTCTTGTGAAAGACCCGGAACTCATCAAACAAATCACTGTCAAAGACTTTGATCACTTCGTGGACCACCGAAGTCTTTTTCCAGAAGGCAGTGACCCCCTTTGGTCCAGAAATCTTTTTTCATTAACTGGGAAAAGATGGCGCGACATGCGATCAACACTCAGTCCGGCTTTCACGAGTAGCAAAAT